AGAAAAGGATAGAAGAGTGTCAACACTTGAAGAAGATTGCTGACTCTCTATATTATAAGGGGGAGTCACCACAGCTGCTCATCGGTCAAGACAACTGGGAGCTAATCGTGACTCAAGAAGTAAGAAGAGGGAAACCAGGACAACCAGTCGCTTCAAGAACAGGACTTGGATGGGTGCTCCACGGGTCAGACACTGGAGGCGCGAAAGTGGTGCACTTCTTAAACACGTATCTACATGTCAGCACGCCAGAAGAAGAGATGCATCAAGCCATCAAGGATCACTTCGCAATCGAAGCACTTGGAGTACTACCAAGAAGACCCACTACGGATTCAGAAGGAAGAGCACTCACCATCCTAGAGAAGACCTGCAGAAGACTAGAAGATGGTCGATTTGAAGCTGGACTTCTATGGAAAAATGAAGATGAACAGATGCCTGAAAGCTACACGTCTGCCAAGAACCGATTGTTCAACATTGAAAAGAAGATAGACAAAGACCCTCAGCTGAAGGCAGAATACAATAAGCAGATCCAGCATCTAATCGACAGCAAGTATGCAGAAGAAGCACCTGGTGGACAAGAAGATTCAAAGAAGACATGGTACCTCCCTCATTTCTCCGTGGTACATCCATTGAAGAAGAAAATAAGGATCGTCTTCGACGCTGCAGCCAAGTCTAAAGGGAGAAGCCTCAACGACGCTTTACTACCGGGACCAGACCTACTGCAATCGCTCTTCGGGGTATTACTGAGGTTCCGGCAAGGCCCGTTTGCAGTGGCAGCCGACATAAAGGAAATGTTCCTGCAAGTTCGCATCCGGCCAGAAGATAGAAACAGCTTGAAGTTCCTGTGGCGAGGGGATCATCGTGACGTAGCACCGAAGGAGTACAGAATGACATCAGTCATCTTCGGCGCGACATCATCTCCTAGCACAGCGATCTACGTGAAGAACCGGAACGCGGCGGACTACAAGAAGCAGTACCCAGAGGCAGCAAAGGCAATCGAGCTGAACCATTACATGGATGACTACCTGCACAGCTTCCATTCAGAAGAGGACTTCAAGAGAATTACAGCGCAGGTGGACTTCATTCACAAAAAGGCGGGCTTCGAACTCCGAGGATGGGCGTCAAACCACTCCGACCTGCTGCAAGACGTGAAGACTGAGTCAGTTGAGAAGACAGAGGTGGACCTTGGTGAGAAGGAAGAGAAGACACTGGGACTACGCTGGTTTACAGAAAGGGACTCCATAGGCTTTAGGGCGAACCTTCGGAACACGCCAGATGAAGTGGCACAAGGACTCAAGGTACCTACGAAGAGAGAAGTCACCAGCGCCGTGATGTCGACCTTCGATCCACTAGGGCTAGCATCACCAATTCTCATCCAAGGCAAAAGGCTGCTCCAGAACATATGGCGAAGTGGCGTCGGTTGGGATGAAGAGATAGAAGAAAAGGAGTACGAGTCATGGAAGACTTACCTGGAGAAGATGAAGCTGCTCCAAGACCTTCAGATCCCGAGATGTCTGGCACCACGTCGCACCGAGGGGGAGCTGCACACGTTCACGGATGCAAGCGAAATGGCGTATGCAGCTACGGTATATTGGAGAACTGAAAATCAAAATGGGACTTATGACGTCAGCTTAGTAGCAGCAAAAGTAAGAGTCGCTCCGTTGAAGCCGGTGTCAATCCCGAGACTCGAGCTGCAAGCGGCCCTCCTAGGAAGCAGATTGGCACACTCGGTCGAGGAAGAAATGGATCTGAAAATAGAAAAGAAGACGTTTTGGACAGACTCCAGTATCGTGCTATCATGGATCAAGACGGACCCGAGAACCTTCAAGACATTCGTGGCTCATCGCTTGGCGGAGATAGAAGATCTCACAAAACCACAGGACTGGAGATGGGTACCGACGGCGCAGAACCCTGCAGATGATGCAACACGTGACGTACCAGAACACTTCGACTGCCAACACCGATGGTACACCGGACCAGGGTTTCTAAGAAGAGATGAAGTTCACTGGCCTGCGGCAAGAACATTCAAGAAAGAAACCACTGGCGAAGAAAAGGCAGCGGACATCGTAGCGACTGCAGGCAGCTCCTATCCATCACCAGATCCCGAAAAGTTCTCGTCGTGGAAAAGACTTTGGCGAGCTACAGCAAGAGTACTGCAGTTCATACAACTCTGCAGAAGAAAGGAAAAGGTCCACGCCAGCAAAGAAGATCCTACCTGGAAAACTACAAAAAGGAATAAGAAAATTGTTGAGAAGCGACATCTGTCTTCAAAAACGTCAGAAAGGAAATACATACCATTGGAAACAAGTCTACTAGAGCAAGCTGAAACGCTGTTGTTAAGAAGAAGTCAAGAGAAATGCTTCAAAGAGGACATCAGGTGCCTACAGCAAGGAAAACAATTAGAGGGCAGCAGCAAGTTGAAAAGGCTCGACGTAGTGCTAGAAGAAGGTCTCCTGCGACTGAAAGGAAGAATCGACGCGATACGAGGGGTTACCAGAGACTACAAACGACCCATCGTACTCGACAGCAAGGACAAGACAACACTTCTCATCATAGAAGAATTTCACTGCCGCTTCAATCACGGGAATCACGCGACCGTAATGAACGAAGTAAGACAACGCTTCTGGGTGCTAGGACTGAGGTCAGCGATCAAGACCATTCAACATCAATGCCAGTGGTGCAAAACAAGAAAGGCAAGACCTCAAGAACTACCAGTGGGCAACTTACCTGCTGAGAGGCTGATGCACGGAAACCCTCCATTTACGTGCACGGGAATAGATTACTTCGGCCCTATGACGATCACCGTAGCAAGACGCCATGAGAAGAGATGGGGTGCTCTATTCACATGCTTAACAACACGAGCTGTACACATTGAGCTCACTCCTTCACTCTCCACTGACAGCATGATCATGGCACTACGACGATTCGCCGCGAGAAGGGGAATGCCAAAGATAATCTACACCGACAATGGCACTAACTTCGTTGGCGCCAACAAAGAACTCAAAGAAGCACTAGACACCATGAAGCAAGAAGACCTTATCTCGGAAGCGGAGAAGATCGGTGTGCAGTGGAAGTTCATACCTCCTGGTGCACCAAACATGGGAGGTGCATGGGAGCGTCTGGTGCGATCCATTAAAACCGCACTGGACGCCACGCTCAACGAAAGGCAACCACGAGAGGAGGTACTTCATACCCTCCTGTTAGAGGCCGAGCACATAGTCAACTCTCGGCCCCTCACCCACCTCTCCGAGAACCCTGAAGAAGAAGCACTTACACCGAACCACTTTCTCATCGGGCGATCATGTGGCGCAGCAAGAATCGGCAGCTTCGAGGACAACGAGCTTGTGGGCAGACACACCTGGAAGGCTACGCAGCGACTTGCCGATCACTTCTGGCAACGTTGGCTGAGAGAGTATTTGCCCACTCTACTACCAAGGAAGACCAAAGGAAGAGTCAGCGCCACAGATTTGCAAGTCGGAGACATCGTACTGATCGTCGATCACAGCCTACCAAGATGCATCTGGCCACGCGGAAGAATCCTGCATGTGTATCCTGGACCAGACGGGCGGACCAGAGTCGTCGACGTCGAGACCAGAGGAGGTGTCCTACGGAGGCCCAGTTCGAGAGTGGTGCTGTTGGTGCCGGGAGCGTCGCCGAGTCCAGGAGTTGGTGCAAAGCACGAGGGGGAGAATGTCGGCGACGGAAAACTTATCTTCGAGTAACGTGTGTATTAATATAGGGACAATGTCATTTTAGCGTATTATGAATAATTGTTGTAAATATGAAATCTCATTCTTATTAGATTTATTATGTTAAAATAAGTTCTAATTAGTGTAATAAGGTTAGTTTAGAGTATTTTTTGCTTATTTGAATCATATAAGACTATTTAACATTAATTTGAAAGGAATAGGTACGTAAGTAAAATGTTAGCATATAATTACGTAACTTGAAAATGAGATTTTTTGTTTCTTGCAATAGCATAATAGTTTATGTTTTAAATAATAGATTTTATTATAAAACTTATAATAAAACAAGAATTAGGTCGATAGGACTATCCGTTCAAAAGTTATAAGGGAAAATGTATAGTAAAAATGTAGCAACCTAGAAATTTAGATATTTTTGTTTTAAGACTTTTTTAATTAATTATTATATATTGAATATTATGTTTTAATATTGTATAATAGTATGTAAGGCATGTAAATAAATAAATATGTGTAAGGTGTTTTACTGAAAACATAAAATAAAAGGACTCTCAAGGTTTCGGTTTAGGGAAATTTTATTCGAAAAATGAGCTCAAAGTACGCGGCTCTCTGTAAGGTATTAACGGGCCAAATAAAAGGCGAGCCATTTCTCGATTCGAGTCAGTCGCAAGACAGCCACCGAAGAGGCAACAACTAAAAGGAAAAGGAAGAACCGAAACCAAGAGAGAAAAAAGGAAAAATTGTGTTTTTATTTCATCGCCTCTAAGTATAGTCTCCTGTCAACGAAGAAACCCTAGTGGATCGGGACCCAAGCTACGCATTCAGGGGTGCGTGGTGGCGTACATTACCAGCGAACGGACATACTGCCGTGTACGCCAAGAACGTCTGGGAGATTGTCCCAGGTCGACCTCCGGGTACTAGACATACCCTGGTTCTGGTCGTCCGAAACAGTAACAAACCATGAGTATACTTTATTATTCTAGTCGACAAGTGTCTTTTTGGTCAACTTTTTTAGCAGTCTCGGTATAATATGAACGACGTATCATTCGATTCGGAATGGTATGTAAATGATTTTTGCAAATATCTCAAAAACTAATTGAGATTTTCCAAATGTAAAAAAGATTTAAAAAGAGAGGAATTTTCCTAAAAAAAGTCATGACTCCCGGAACCGTTGGACCAATATTTATAATTTTACCAGAGTCGCTAAAGTCAAAATAAATGGTCTCCTTTTCAAAAAAAAAACAATTCTGTGTTTTAGTGACTCGTCCGAAACGTCCAATGTTCTTACTACAAGCTGCACTAATGATACCCAACGTATCTGTAAAACCCACTCTTGAAGAAATACAAGAAGTTCTCGTTTTAGCCGGCAAGAACATATCTGGTTTATCTAAGGGTGTAGCCCAGTGGACCGGCGGAAAAGGAAATAAGGTATCATAATACATTTTTTAAGTTCGCTTTTTTTCTAAAATTGAATCTCTATAATACAATCAATTTTAGCCTACTATATCTGCCCAAAGATTCAGTTCAGGTTGGTATTTTACCGTATTACATAACGTTAATTATTAATAGTAAATAATATGTTTTATATACTATGTGTAAATAGCTTAACCTTGTTTTACTTTTTAATGGTAACATCGTTCATATTAATAAAGAAACTAATTAGTTCTTTCTTCTTCTCCCCAAATTGTGGTGTCAATTGTTGTGAATTGTCTAATTATTTGCACTGTTCACCTGTGTAATTTGACGGTGTTATTGTCTGCTGGAAACACTTCCAATGTTAATGCTGAAATGCTTTATATTTATTTTCAAACACTCGATGTTGCTTGTCTTTAAATGTAAATAACACTATTTTATTTAATTTTTGTTTTCTTATATTATATTTTATTTGCTGCGATTGCTTCCTTCTACACGCTTCCTCCCATTAGATAAGCTGGAAAAAGCTAGCAGGTCACCAATCGAAACAATTGTTCGATGTAGTCAGCAAGCTTGACGAACAGGTACATTCAGCAGCGGCGCCAATGAACATAGCGCAGAAATCAATGAAGGTGGTTGATGCTGCCAGGATAAGAAAAAAAAAATATTACCGACTGGAGTCAGAGGAGAAACCAGTGTTTCCATTTCAACCAAAAAATTTTTATAACCATATTATGGAAAATAAGGAAATAATAAAAACTCTTACACATTTATCCATGTGTACTCAAAATATAAAATCAGTAAGTACACTTAATATAAGAACAAGATTTTTATTTTCATATAATTATTTGTATATTTAACCGAGTTTATTTTTTTAGGAATTAAACACACTTGTTAAACGATGGCGCCCTTACCATTATTTATGGAAATGTGAAAAGACTTTACGTCAATTGTTAGCTTGGAATCTTAATGACTTCGAACTCGCCCTTAAAAGACACAGCGAACTTGAAGCTAAATTAACCACTGAACCTGATGTATTGATTATAGGAAATTGTTTAGCAGTTTCAACAGAAAAGTTAAAATTGGGACTCAACACAGAGCTTAAAAGTAATATAATCAGTTCTAATATCGTTTATGCTGTGTATAAATTATTATAAGCTCTCTAAAAACCAAATCAATACAAATAAAAACATACTAAGAAAACTATTAAAAAGTAAAGAATCGCAATGTTCTTTTGTGATTTTAAATTATTCTTCCGGAAAATGTCTAGTTTAAAAAAATATTAACATTATACCAAGATCATTGTCTTTGTCGGTTTGTAATTTCGCAATCTCTTTATAGAGATATCGGACTAATGTATATGCCGCTGATTTCACAAAGGTCTAATTTCAAATATAACGCAAAAGACAATCGATCATTCGGAAATTTCGAAATTGATTTTCTGGTAAAGAATATATTTGGTAAGACGTGATAGTATACAAATATATTTTAACACAACAATATTCTAAAACAACTTTAAAATAATATTTTCATTAAAACTTTGGAAATCTCACTTTCAACACGTTATATTTTTGTTTTATTAATGAAAGCTTGTTTTACGGGTAATATTAAGGTAAGCCTTTAAAATCCAAGATAACATTACAAGATAATTTACAACAAATACAGGTTAAAAATTAATATTTACAATTAAAATAAATTGCAAACGATAAATTTTCGGCGACCGTTATATGCATTTATGTGAGGTGGGACTCGCCGAAGTATCCACCTAAGCTCTTTAAAAGGAGAAGAAAAAGATTTAGGTATTATTGAGAAGATTTTAATACATGAATAATATTTTTATAACGAATGTTAAGTAAATGGCTCACTTTTGTGTTATAGTAGATATAATAAATAGAATATGTTGTTAAAGATGGTACGTACAGAATTAGTCAAGCTATGCGTAAAAAGTACAAACGTGAAATGGATTACGTTTACGCTATAATGAACGACTTGGAGCGTAAATTAGAAAGACCAATACGTGATTTAGATGATGTTAGAACTGTAATGGAAACTCTAAAGAAAATAAGAGAACAAGAAGTTGATATGGAATTAAAAATTGACCCAGTTGAAGTGAGTTATCATTTCATATTTAAAGATGTTTTCTAAGAGATTTAGGTGTATTATAAGTAGATAATGTTACATTTAAATATAGTGGAAAAATCGAAAGATCTCCTAGTTTTAAAGTTTTACGCTTACATGTCTTATACTGACTCTCCCATGAGTGGTTATATTAAAATAACACATAATAGTGACTTTAGAAGAACCTACAGAAAATCTAATAGGATTATTTTTTTTTTGGAATGAAGGACCCTTCAGTTCTTTAAAATTGAAGCTATTTAGGATGACGTATATGCCGAGGAATGTAACAGTTCCCGATATGGGAAATTAGTTTACTTAAACGGTTTTACTAATGAACAATATAAATTATTGAAGGACTTTTATCTTTAAAATCAATTAAAGCAATAGTTAAGTAGTGATTTACCGCCTTTACGATTGCACTATGTAAGAGGAGGAGTGGTCGCAGGGGCTCTAGACATAGCTTAGATATTACCGTGATTTTTTATACAACCGAGTCAAATGAAAAACGAGACATCAGAGATGATTATCAAGTTTTATTTACTTGTTATGCCTTTTTATGTTATGTATACAAAGGTAGTTGTAAATATTACAGTTAAAAAATCAACTCAATGCCTTAATAATAAAATTTTACTTTTTAATTTTAGTTATTTCCACTCAGCAAATCTAAATATTTTTTTATCTAAAAGATATCAAAACTTTTAGGAAGCGTTCAATGTTATAACTCGCTATGAACTGCCAGTGAGTAAAGAAGATATGGAGCAAGTTGATAATCTCCGATATAGTTGGCAACAATTACAAGCTACTGCACTAGCGTCTCATGTTCAATTACTTAAAATGCAGCCTCAATTTGAAGATGATTTGAAAAATAACTTAGACAGATTTAGAGAAGATAACACCGAATATTGCCATGAATACCGTCATGCTGGGCCGATGCAACCAGGCTTGAGTCCGAGGGAAGCTTCAGATCGTTTGATATTATTTCAGGTAAAAAATTCAGATGCCAAAAATAGTTACGTCTATGTGTAATTAAAAGTAACGATTTTTTAATAATTATGTTTTATGCTTATTTGTTTGACCCAAAACAATTGTATTAAATTTTTTGACTCTCCGCTGCAAAATTTGTGAGATCTTTCATTCATATCTTTATAATACAAACTTTAATTGCAGAATCGCTTCGATGGTATGTGGCGTAAATTGCAAACATACCAAAACGGCGAAGAATTATTTGGGCTTCCACATACAGAGTACCCCGAATTAGCACAAATAAGAAAAGAATTGAATCTCTTGCAAAAACTTTATAAACTGTACAACGATGTCATCGATCGAGTCAGCAGCTATTACGACATACCCTGGGGAGAAGTAAATATAGAAGAAATAAATAATGAACTCATGGAATTTCAAAACAGATGCAGGAAATTACCGAAAGGGTAAATAAGCATCCATTTGTTAAACTAAGTTAAAGAATTCTTTTTCCTTACTAAAAATCAAAGTTCATTAAATATTTGCGACTTCATCTATTACCCTCTTAAGTTTGCAGAGATGAAGTTGCTAGTTTTGCTAAAGGTTATATAATATACCAGTTTTTTGATAGTTCATTTATGCCGATTCTTTCTAGTCCTTTCGAGGTTTAGTTGCATTGTTATTGATATCCAATTGAATATAATAAAAAGTTGCATTTAACCTTGTCCATTGCCAATTATTCATTAGCTACAAAATATAGCATCAGCTATTATATAAATATTATTATTTTAGTCTTAAAGAGTGGCCAGCTTTCTACGCTTTAAAGAAAACAATAGATGATTTCAACGATATGTGCCCTTTACTTGAACTCATGGCAAATAGAGCGATGAAACCACGACATTGGCAGAGAATCATGGAAGTCACAAAATATATATTTGAACTTGAAAATGAAGACTTTTGTTTAAAAAATATACTGGAGGCGCCTTTATTACAACATAAAGAAGATATTGAGGTGCGTTCGTTGAATTTTATAAAACGACAACGAATTATTTATATTTTAACTATATTGTTGTTGTTATAAATACATGTAATAAAAAGTTTATGCCTTACCTTTTAAGCTTGGTAGACTTACATATATCATTTAAATTATTTTATTTCCGAATCTATACCGGACAGGTGGAGCTCGAGGGCAAAGTATATCTAAATGAGTAATGGTGACGTTTGTGTCGCCCTGTTGCCATTATAGATTCGGATCTTGTGGTACACCGGTGTAATGTAAACAATAATCTTCCTATTATAAACGATAGGCAGCTTGCAACTCTTCTATTGCTATTCCTCTATTATCCTTCTTTTGTTTCTTCGCTTTTTATTCCAATGAAACCCGAATTCGAATACCGTATCAAATAGATGCCTATATTGCCTACGGCCCTAGTCCCTACCGTACCCATGGAGCAATACCTTACAAAAAGCCGCAAGCCATTCAGCCGTTTTGAATTTATTTAACTTTAATTTTCACTATCCTATTTACAACTAGCATTGCCCGCGGCTCCGTTCGCGTTCAGATGACCAAACACCAAATTCTTAGGTTCTACATATTAGTTTACTCTTACAATAAATCCCTCCAGTGGTTTTTCCGTGATGCAGTAACAGACAGACAGACAGACAGACAGACAGACAGACAGACAGACAGACAGACAGACAGACAGACAGACAGACAGGCAGACAGAAAGACAGACAGACAGACAAAAAATCTAAAAACTATAGATTCGGCCTCTGTATCGATAATAATGTCTATTTCAATAAGATTTTCCAAAAAATATCTAAAGTACAGATTCGGCTTAGTTACAATTTTATTATATGTATAGATATTTCTTGATTATTTCTTAACCTATTTTAAAAATATATGAATGCTATACAAGGTCAGCCTATTATTACAATAACTTTAACTGTACTGTTTTATTAAAACTAAACTATATTAAATTCTTTTATTTATCTATTTTTAATTGAATCGGTAACGATCCCTATTAACAAAACTGTTACGAGATTGTATTCAGTCCTTTTTAACGTCCCACTGTTGAATACGAGCCTCCCTTCAATGCAAAGGGAATCAGGCCATAGTCCACCACGCTGGCCAAGTGCGGGTAGGCGGACTTCACATGTCTTTCGAAAACTTACTAGGTTCTCTCAGACATGCAGGATTCACGATGTTTTTCCTTCACCGTAAGGCAAGTGGTAATAATGTTGAAAATAATTCGTAAATGATAATATCAAAGGTGCGAGAGGATTTGAACCCGCTTCACTTCGTTTCCTAATCAAGCGCGCTACCACTTGGTCACCGCTGCCTTTGTTACGAGATATTAAACGTTATTTAAACAATAAAATCTAATTAAAACACGAAGACTATGAAAATGAATATGTACGATAATTTTACAGTATATTTTATGTCCTTTATTAATATATTTTATAATATACTTGAAAAATCATTAAAATATGTCAAATAAGTCTGTCACTATTAACTATCGATATACAAAAACATGATTTATCCAATTTTGTACCATTTTTTTTTAATTATCGATATTTCAGTTCGTAAAAGCAAAAATTTGAAAAAAATAATATTTTAACAGGAACTTTGTTGGGACATTTTCTAAGATATTTTGGGGTGAGAGCGAAGAAAAAAAAATATCGTCATTTTTTTGGCACAACCTAATAAAAATATATATGTATATATATATATATATATATATATATATATATATACCATTGGGCCACCATATATATATATATATATATATATATATATGGTGGCCCAATGGTAACGCGCTCGCTTGGAAAACCGAGTGAAGCGGGTTTAAATCCCGGGTCTCGCACGTTTAATATTTTCATGTGCGAATCATTACATCGTAATTACCACTTGCCATACGGTAAAGGAAAACATCGTGATCAAACCTGCATGTCTGAAAAAAACCTAGCGAGTTTTCAAAAGACATGCGAAGTCCGCCAACCCGCACTTGGCCAGCGTGGTGGACTATAGCCTGAACAGTAGATATCCCCCTCCTGTTGAAGAGAGGCTCGTGCTTAGCAGTGGGACGTTAAAAAGGGCCGAATACGAATTCTCTATCGAAATTGTAAGTAACGAAATATAATTTAATACTAATATAACGTGATCACCCAGACTAGCCCATGGTGGTTACAAAATTAGACGTTATTTCAAATAAAGAATCCGAGATTTTAATTTTTCATGTTAAATAATCTTTTTAAATACACAATATTATATTCTTCACAGGATATTTGTATATCAGCAATGAAGGAAAAAGATATCGAGGCGAAATTGCGACAAGTGACAAACGAGTGGTCGGTGCATGAGTTAACGTTCCAAACTTTTAATAATCGCGGAGAATTGCTTCTAAGAGGTGATACAACAGCAGAAACAATTGGCCAGCTAGAAGATAGCTTAATGATATTAGGCTCATTGCTGTCTAACAGGTACTGTACAGTTCTTATACCAACATTATTAATAAGAATAGTCGCTAAACGAAATGATTTTGTTTAAGAAAAATGCGACATAACTATTAAGTTAAACTCATTGAATTACACGCTTTACTCCAAACTATATTTTTTTATGGAGATATGAGGACCATTATAATTAGACATTTCAAAGTTTGACCAATATTTTTTCATTAGCTTTGCCGGTACAAGCCTTGAAAAATTTGATGGTCTTTTTTTTCAAAAAAATGTAGAAAAAATTTGTTTACTTTTATTTATTTATTATTTTATATATTTTTTCTAATTAATAGGTACAACGCTCCGTTTAGAAAGCAAATACAGCAATGGTTATATGACTTGCAAAGTACGAATGAAATTCTGGAACGGTGGCTACTTGTTCAAAATATGTGGGTGTATCTTGAGGCAGTATTCGTTGGCGGTGATATTGCCAAACAACTCCCTAAAGAAGCCAAAAGGTTTTCCAAAATCGATAAATCTTGGCAAAAAATTATGCAAAGGGCACATGAAACTCCCGGAGTAGTTTCATGTTGTGTTGGTGATGATCTTTTACGACAGCTTCTGCCGCATCTACAGGAACAGTTAGAATTATGCCAAAAAAGTTTAAGTGGCTACCTAGAAAAGAAGAGGACAATGTTTCCACGATTCTTTTTCGTATCTGATCCGGCTTTGTTGGAAATCCTTGGTCAGGCTTCAGATTCCCATACTATACAAAACCATCTCTTATCGATCTTTGATAATATAAGATATGTAAAGTTTCATGACATAGGTACGTTATTTTAAATACTTGCATAAAATAGTCCAAAGAAATTTAGTAACAATTACTCGTATTAATCTTCATACTTTTTTCAGAATATAACAAAATGATAGCCATTGTGTCTTCAGAGGGAGAAGAAATAAAACTGGAACGGCCTGTTCGTGCTGAAGGTTCAGTAGAAACGTGGCTCACGTCGTTACTACAATCAGCACAAAGCAGTTTACATTCAATCATACGAAATGCAGTATCGTTAATTAACGATCCATCTTTTAATCTTCTCTTATTTTTAGATAAAATGCCAGCTCAGGTAATTAATTATGCAATTACAAAAGAAAATCGGAAATCAAATGTTTTAAAATTACTATATGAACTTTTAGGTTGGACTGCTGGGCATTCAAATAATCTGGACAAGAGATGCGGAGCTTGCTCTTATGCAAGCTAGGCAAGATAAGAAAATAATGATAGAAACAAATAACAAATTTTTAGAACTTTTAAATACTCTCATAGACCAAACGACGAGAGATTTGATAAAAATAGAGCGCACTAAATTCGAAACTCTCATTACTATACATGTACATCAAAGGGACATATTCGATATGCTGGTAAGCACATTCCGCAATAATTTGGATTATGTACAATGTATATTGTACATATAAATGAATTTTAATATGTTTGTGTCAAGTAAAAAAAATATAATCTTATATTTTAGTGTCGGTTAAATGTTCGTTCTGCAAATGATTTTGAATGGCTGAAGCAGTGCCGATTTTATTTCAAAGAAGATGCCGACAAGACATGGATATCCGTAACTGATGTTACCTTTACATATCAAAATGAATATTTAGGATGTACTGAGAGGCTGGTCATAACACCCCTTACTGATCGGTAAAGGTCTAATACATTATTAATACTCCGCTAACATTTGTGTGAACTGTTATTTTTAGTAATTTTTATTCCGAAACTAACTATTAGTATGTACCTAGTTATTAAATTTGGACAATTATCATTCGATATTATTACACTTGTGTCTTCTATTAGTTGGTCGTCTTGTCAAAACCAAGATGTTAACGAGAATTCAGCTTGATCATTTTAAAAAGTTTGCTTTCGACTTTCAAAATTTACTGTGACATATATACATGCCTTATATTTTTTCTGACAGCTGTTATATAACTCTTGCTCAAGCTCTAGCTATGAGCATGGGTGGAGCGCCCTGTGGCCCCGCGGGTACTGGTAAAACGGAGACAGTCAAAGATATGGGAAAAACTTTGGCGAAATACGTAGTCGTATTTAATTGCTCTGATCAAATGGACTACAGGTATGTTTTTTTATAATTTAATCTACTTACAACTAGAATATGATCCCTATGGAATGATGTATATTTGTCTTTGCAACCATACAGGCTTAAATTTTAATTTAAAAAATGGTGTTTCAGAGGCCTGGGCCGCATTTATAAAGGTCTAGCCCAATCCGGTTCATGGGGCTGTTTTGATGAATTCAATCGGATCGAGCTTCCAGTACTATCGGTAGCTGCCCAGCAAGTCGCAGTAGTCCTGGCAGCCAAAAAAGAAAAAAAGAAAACGTTCCTATTCACTGACGGAGATATGTCTGAAATGTGTCCAGAATTTGGGATATTTATCACAATGGTTAAACTACTTTTGTTAAAAATATTTTAGATTTATTTTGCTAATAACATTATGTAAATGTGTTTTTTTTTTACTTTTAAACATTAGAACCCTGGCTATGCTGGACGAAAAGAATTACCAGAAAACTTGAAGATTCAATTTCGCACTGTTGCCATGATGGTGCCAGACCGTCAAATAATTATAAGAGTGAAACTAGCTTCTTGTGGTTTTCTAGAGAATATAACTCTGGCTCGAAAGTTTTATACTTTATATAAATTGTGTGAAGAGCAACTTACGAAGCAGGTAAATTTATTCATAATGATTATTTACAACCTATACTAATATTTAAAGCAGAGCAGTTTGTTTAAACGCGCTAATTTTGGATCTACTTGTCCGATTTAAAAATTATTTTTGCGATTTTAGCTTATTTATTGAGGAAGCTTACACACATGGGGTTAGGCTATCATACATCACATTACAACCTTTACCGACAGTGCAGCAGCGAGAACACACTGGCATTATTACATAAAGGATTTTTAAGTTAATATTATTTATTTTTCAGGTACACTACGACTTCGGACTGCGTAATATTCTTTCTGTTCTGCGTACGCTTGGTGCTGTTAAACGAGTTAACACTAAAGATAATGAAAGCACGATAGTTATGAGAGTGCTGAGAGACATGAACTTATCGAAACTTATAGACGAAGACGAACCACTCTTTATTTCATTAGTAGCTGACTTATTCCCTAATCAATCATTGGAAAAAACAATGTACTCTGATCTTGAGGACGCTGTTAGAAAACAAGTAGATGTAACTGGTTTGATTTATCACCCTCCTTGGGTTCTTAAAATAATACAGGTAAAATACAAGTTGAAAAATAATTTAATGTCTGCCGCAATTTATTTAATGATATTTTCCTTATATATTTTTATATAGTTGTATGAAACTCAACGTGTCCGACATGGAATAATGACTCTTGGACCGCCGGGAGCCGGAAAAACCACATGCATTCATACTCTTATGAATGCACTTTCTGATATAGAAGATCCACATAGGTTAGGAACAATGAGTGTGCATGCGTATTTATGTTGCTTAATAAGTGCTAATTGTTTAGTTATATACATACATATATACACTTTTTTTGTTTAAGGGAAATGCGTATGAATCCAAAAGCAATAACAGCTGCGCAAATGTTCGGTCGCCTAGATGTAGCGACTAATGATTGGACAGATGGCATATTCTCTGCCTTATGGAGAAAAACACTAAAATTGAAAACTGGAGAACATATATGGCTGGTATTGGATGGTCCAGTGGATAGTATATGGATAGAAAACTTAAACTCCGTATTAGATGATAACAAGACACTAACTTTGGCTAATGGTGATCGTTTAACAATGTCTCCGACATCTAAAATCATCTTTGAACCAGAAAATATTGATAATGCATCCCCAGCCACTGTGTCTCGTAATGGAATGGTGTATATGAGCTCTTCAGGTCTTGATTGGGAACCGGGTAAAAATTATTTTGTTGCAACGTTTTTATTTCTGACGTTTTATATAATATTTCTAGGGACTTACCACAATCTTTTACAAAACATTACCATTACCTACTGTTTTATGTATTTCAAAAAGTACAATAATGATCTTACTTATATTTGTAGCATGACCTTACATGGTAGGCCCACTTGGGCCAATGCTCAATTAAATCCAAAAAAAAATTCTTATATATTATTATTTTAATTATAAATAGGAATTATTACTTTCTATTTTAGTTCTTAATGCGTGGCTGAAAACTCGATCACCGAGGGAAGAAGAAGTATTTAGTGCTTTATTTCAACAGACATTTCCAAATATTTATACTTGGTGTACTCAAAATCTGATTTTTAGTATGCGAGTCCTTCAAAGTAATATCATTTATCAAATGTTAAGTTTATTGGAAGGATTAGTACCTCCTCAAATTGTTGAAGATGAAGATACTTCTGCAAGTAAATCTATTAATGGTGACATGGATGATGAAGATGAGAAGGAAAAAGTTGAAGAAATAATCCTTTTTACTCATGAACATCTTCACAAAATTTATATCTTTTCATTGATTTGGGGTTTTGGATGCCTTTTGGAAACTGAGGACAGATTCCGATTTGATAAGTTCATAAAAACTACATTTAATGAAATTCTTGAGCTACCGAAACATCCAAATAATAAACCGAGTATTCTATTTGATTTTTACGTTAAACATCCGGGAAAATGGGCGTTATGGGATGATTTAATGACAAATTATATATACCCCGACTCTGCAACTCCGGACTATTCAAATATTCTTATTCCAATTGTTGATAATGTTCGAATCAGTTATCTTATTCATTGTATTGCTAAACAAGGAAAAGCTGTATTATTATTGGGTGAACAAGGTTCTGCTAAAACAGTCATGATGAAAGCATATATGAAAAATGCCAATCCAGAACAATTTATGGGTCGTTCATTTAATTTTTCTTCAGCTACGAGCCCCTATCAATTTCAAAAAACAATAGAAAGCTATGTTGAAAAAAGAAGTGGTATGACTTTTGGACCTCCTGGTGGAAAGAAAATGTTAGTGTTTATTGATGATATTAATTTACCACAAATTAACGAATGGGGCGATCAAATTACAAATGAAATAGTTAGACAAACTATGAGTATGGGCGGATTCTATAGCTTAGAAAAGCCTGGTGATTTCACTACCATAGTAGATATTCAATTTTTGGGGGCGATGGGACAACCAGGTAATAAATAATACAATATTCACTCTGTACTCAACATGCGCTGTAATGCCTCTCTTTTAGTAATCAATACATGTATACAATAAAAGAAAGACGATGATGTTTTGGATATTAAATTAAACAGCTCGTTGTTCAAGTCTTTTGGGATTTTTTTTATTTTTCTAATAAATAACACAATCGTTAAAACTATATTTTTTATATTAGGTAGAATAAAGAATTTAACATATAAAATATATATAAAGTAACTGCTTCCAGGTGGTGGCAGAAATGACATACCCGCCAGATTAAAGAGGCAATTTTCGATATTTAACTGTCCATTGCCCAATAATGAGTCTATAGACAAAATTTTCAAAGTTATAGGCGAAGGTCACTACAATGCCAAAAGGGGTTTTACAATAGAAGTAAGATCGCTTATAAAAAAGATAATTCCCTTAACACGAGAACTATGGACTAGAACCAGAAAAAATTTACTACCTACTCCTGCAAAGTTTCATTACGTTTTTTCTCTTCGTGATTTATCTAGAGTTTGGCAAGGAATGATCGGTACTTTGCCTACTGTAATTGAATCAGAAAAATGTCTTATGCTTCTCTGGAAGCATGAGTGCTCAAGAGTATTTTCGGATCGGTTTACGCATCAAGGGGACAAAGATTGGTTTAATAATGCATTATGTGATATTACTCACGAAATACTAGGACCAGAATATAAGAAAATGATGGAAAAGGATCCTGTATTCGTTGACTTTATGAGGTACGTAACTTCCTTAATTTCTGGCTGTATTTCTTTTATTTTTAGCTCATACAAAATATTTTTATAGAGATGCTCCAGAGCCAACGGGTGAAGAGGGCGAAGACGCTGATATGGAACTACCAAAGGTTTACGAACCTGTTTTTGATTATGCTGAACTAAGAGATCGATTAGAAATGTTTCTCTCTCAATTCAATGAAATGGTTCGAGGTTCGGGAATGGATCTTGTATTTTTTCCTGATGCAATGTTACATTTAGTAAAAATTTCAAGAGTTATACGACACCCACGAGGAAACGTTATGTTAGTTGGAGTGGGAGGGTCTGGAAAGCAATCTTTAACTAAATTATCTACATTCATCGCAGGCTACCGCTCATTTCAAATAGCTTTGACAAGATCATATAATGTTGGCAATTTTTTGGAAGACCTCAAACTGCTTTACCGATCATGTGGGGTTCAAGGAAAGGGAACAACTTTCATATTTACCGATTTAGATATAAAGGAAGAAGGGTTTCTAGAATATCTTAATAATATTTTATCATCAGGTGTTATATCAAATTTATTTACAAAAGATGAACAGCAAGAAATAATATCAGAACTAACACCTGTTATGAAGCGAGAAAATCAAAAACGAACACTAACTAACGAATTAGTAATGGAGTATTTTTTAAATAGGACATGCCAGAATCTTCACGTCGTTTTATGCTTTTCTCCAGTTAGTATTAATATTTTTCATTATAGTATGCAACATTTTAACCTCATAAGATAAAAAGCATAATGTTAATTATCTTAGATATAATCTATCTCTTAATACCGAACTTCCTTAATTAATAGGTACACACTTTCACGTGCAAGTTTTTACTTTTGTAGTATCGGTGTGATAGATATCATAGTTTATCATTTTATCTTAAATATATTTTCTTTTTGTAGGTAAGCGAAGCGTTTAGGTATAGAGCGTTACGTTTTCCTGCTCTTATATCAGGTTGCACGATAGATTGGTTTCAACCATGGCCAAAAGATGCTCTTGTGTCTGTTGCTGATCATTTTCTCACTGATTTTGAAATCGAATGTACTGTAGAAGTAAAAAAAGAACTTGTGACCGTCTTAGGTACCATACAGGACGTTGTTTCTACGGTATCAACAGAATACTTTCAACGGTTTCGACGGTCCTCTCACGTCACTCCAAAATCATATCTGAGTTTTATTGGTGGATATAAAACAATTTATCAGATGAAACAAAAAGAACTAGGCGACGGTGCCTTAAGAATGGATACTGGTTTAGAAAAACTACGCGAAGCATCTATATCCGTTGAAGTTTTAAAGAAAGATTTAGCCGTCATGGAGCAAGATTTGGCGTTGGCTTCAGAAAAAGCTGACCGAGTGCTTTCAGAAGTAACAGACAGGGCAATGCAAGCTGAAATTGTTAAAAATCAAGTCCAAATTGTAAAAGAAAAGGCAGAAGCTTTAGTAGCTTATATCGCAGAAGAAAAAGAAAAAGCGGAAAGAAAATTAGAAGCCGCAAAGCCAGCATTAGAAGAAGCAGAAGCTGCTCTTAATACAATTAAGCCAGCTCATATAGCAACAGTTAGAAAATTAGGTCGCCCACCTCATCTTATTATGAGAATAATGGACTGTGTATTGATTCTGTTTCAAAGAAGGTTACATCCGCTAATACCGGATACTGCTGCACCATGCCCAAAGCCATCTTGGGCTGAATCTCTTAAGGCAAGTTTTCAATTTATGCATACAATAATAGTGTAACGTGTATACCGTTTTTAAAAGAGTTAGAACCTATGTGGCGTTGCCAATTGTCATTTTCATTTTTCTTTAACTCGAGGCGCAGGATGCATGTGTACTCTATCCATATATGCCAATGTAAATATGGATAGAGTGCACTTAAATAATAATCAATAAATATCATATATAATGAATGACATTAATATCGCGCACCCAGTAATAGTGATGATATTGCTATTTGCTAGATATAAGATCAATTTATTTTCATTTACTATTAATATATCACAATATTCAAATATACATGTTTTTCTAGATGATGGCAAGTACTACTTTCTTACTACAACTTCAAAATTATCCAAAAGATATAATAAATAATGAAATGGTGGAGCATCTTGTACCGTATTTTGAAATGGAAGATTATAACATGGATACAGCTAAACGTGTTTGTGGAGACGTAGCAGGATTACTATCTTGGACTAAGGCCATGGCATTTTTTCATAGCGTGAATAAAGAAGTTTTACCTTTAAAAGCTAGTTTATTGCTACAAGAAGCAAGATTAAAAGTTAGTAATTTTATTTAGGGTTATATAAAAAATCTATGGCTATATTTTATTATAAATAAAAAGTAATTAGATACAAATATAAACGAATTTATTATATTTATTTTAGGTTGCAATGGAGGATTTGGCATCAGCAGAAAGACAATTAGAAGATCGTGAAATGTCTTTAAGAAAAGTTAAAGATCAATATGAATCTGCGGTTTCTGAAAAGCAACAACTTACTAATGCTGCTAATATTTGTTTAAGAAAAATGACAGCAGCAACTCAACTCATAAACGGATTGGGAGGTGAAAAAATCAGGTGGACTCAGCAAAGTAAAGAGTTCAAAAAACAACTCGGAAGATTAGTTGGAGACGTTGTGTTAGCTACAGGCTTTTTATCCTATTGTGGCCCTTACAATCAAGAATTTAGAAACAGTCTATTTAATACTTGGATGGAAATATTAAAAAGTAAACATATACCAGTAACGGACAACTTAAACATTACAAATATGTTGGTTGAAAGCGCTACTATTTCTGAATGGACTCTTCAAGGTCTTCCAAATGATGAGTTATCTGTTCAGAATGCTCTCATTGTCACGAAATCAAGTTCATATCCACTTCTTGTCGATCCTCAAAGTCAAGGAAAAAATTGGATAAAAAATAAAGAGTCTTCAAATGAACTGCAAATTACATCATTAAATCACAAGTATTTCAGGACTCACTTGGAAGATAGTTTATCATTAGGAAGGCCATTATTAATAGAAGACGTAGGTGTAGAATTAGATCCTGTTATAGATAACGTTTTAGAGAAAAACTTTATAAAATCTGGATCCATAGAAAAAGTAATAGTGGGTGACAAAGAGTGTGATGTTATGCCTGGATTCATGTTGTATATAACAACAAAGTTACCAAATCCCGCTTATTCACCTGAGATAAGTGCCAAGACATCCATTATTGATTTTACAGTAACTATGCAAGGTCTAGAAGATCAATTACTTGGAAGAGTTATATTAATGGAAAAATCAGATCTTGAGGAAGAACGCGTGGCGTTATTCGAATCAGTAATGAAAAATCAAAGAAGCATGAAAGAGTTAGAAAGCAATTTATTATGTCGTTTAACTTCCTCGGTAGGTTCTTTAGTTGACGATGAGGCATTGATACAAGTTTTGCAAATAACAAAATCAACAGCAGAAGAAGTTAATGAAAAATTAAAAGTAGCAGAAGTAACGGAGAAAAAGATTATTAAAGCAAGAGAAGAATTCAGAGCAGTGGCGGCTAGAGGTTCCATATTATATTTTTTGATTGTTGAAATGAGCGATGTCAATATCATGTACCAAAACTCATTAAAACAATTTCTTAATATCTTCGATAATTCGATAACAAAATCAGCTAAAAGTAATATTACAGAAGAACGAATAAATATAATTCTTAAATATTTAACTCATGAAGTCTGGGCTTTTACATTACGCAGTTTATATGAAAGACATAAATCACTATTTACTCTTATGCTAGCAATGAAAATAGACTGTCAACGAGGACTAATTTCTCATGACGAATTTATGGCGTTTGTGAAAGGTGGAGCATCACTGGACTTGAATGCCGTTACTCCAAAACCATTTAGATGGATTTTAGATATAACTTGGCTTAATTTAGTCGAAATAAGTAGAATAAAATGTTTTTCTGAAGTGCTAAGCAAAGTAAGTTAATATGTAGGTATGTATACAATCAGCGTCATATGATGATAAGTAACAGTAAAGATAATCAAATACTTAATACACTTAAAGTGATCAGCGATTGGCTGATATTAAAACCGAAGTACCCAGTCCAATTAGTTTGGCTATCTTTACTTAAATACATTAAAACGTGTTAAATAAGTTAAATGTTTTTAAAAAAGTGGATGAAATGGTAATAAGGCGAAGGGAAGTTGAAATCGTACTAATTTTTTTAAATAAAAATTACTACTGCGCCAAAGAAGTTTTACTTCAAAAAGTGACATTTTATTTATAATTACCTCAAGTCGAAGTTATTATTATATTCTCAAAATATTGTCGTATTAGTTGCTACTCACTATGTGATGCTGACTGTATAATTGTTAAGTATAAACTTAATGTATGTTAGTTTTGTTTTGAAAATTTTATTGTTATTTAAGATAACTACAAATGAAAAGGAATGGCGAGTGTGGTATGAAAAGGCAAAACCAGAAGAAGAAATTATTCCGAGTGGCTTCAATGATAGTCTTGATGTTTTCCGGAAACTTCTTCTTATTAGATCTTGGAGCCCAGATCGAACACTTTCTCAAGCACGAAAATATATTGTCGGTGAGAATAAAAAAATAAAATTAATTTTATACTGCATATTATCTTACAAAATTAAGAGTAACTTTTTATAAATACGTCAAAAGTTTGTAAGTACATATTTTTGTCCAACAGATTCTCTTGGTTTAGAATATGGTGAAGGTTGCATTCTTAATTTGGAAACAACATGGGAAGAGTCGGAGCCCCGTACTCCTTTGATCTGCATTCTTTCCATTGGATCTGATCCTTCTGCACAAATCGCATCGTTAGCGAAATCTAAAGAAATTGGTAAGATTTTATATAATTTATCATATAGTAGTTCTGTTTAAAATATAATATGGTAAAATAAATAGAAACTCGTTTTTAGTCCTGAAGGCTGTCTCCATGGGACAAGGTCAAGAAATTGTGGCTCGGAAAATGATATCTGATTCGATGAATGAAGGAGGATGGGTTTTATTACAAAATATTCATTTATCTCTGCCGTTTTGCGTAGAGGCTATGGATGCACTCATCGAAACTGAGCATATTCAAGAATCTTTTCGTCTTTGGCTTACAACCGAAGTTCATACAGAGTTTCCCATAGGATTTTTACAGATGGCTATTAAATTTACAAATGAACCCCCTCAAGGTATAAGAGCTAGTATGAAGAGGACTTATCAAAACATAACGCAAGACACATTAGATTATTCATCCTTATCTCAATGGCCACCGTTGTTGTATGCAGTGGCATTTTTACACACAATTGTTCAAGAAAGAAGAAAGTTTGGGCCATTAGGATGGAACATACCATATGAATTTAATCAAGCAGATTATGCAGCAAGTGTGCAATTCATACAAAACCATCTCGATGAAATAGATCCGAAAAAAGGAATCTCTTGGCCAACTATCTGTTATATGCTTGGAGAAGTTCAATATGGAGGACGAGTAACCGACGACTTTGACAAACGTTTGTTAACAACATTTACCAATGTGTGGTTTTGTGACGTCCTGCTTAGACCAGGCTTTGAATTCTATAAAGGATACAAAGTTCCACAGACGAGAAACTTGCAAGGTTACGTAGATTATATTAATCAGTTACCATTGACCGATACACCTGAAGTATTCGGATTACATAGCAATGCTGATATCACTTACCAGATCAACAGCGCAAAAGATATTTTAGATACAATATTAAGCGTGCAGCCCAAAGAAGGTGGTAGCCAAGGTGGAGAAACAAGAGAGAGTATAGTATATCGGTTGGCAGAAGATATGTTAGAAAAATTACCCAAACAATATATTAGTTTTGAAGTAAGAGACGCGCTTCATAAAATGGGCGCTTTTCTGCCTATGAATATTTTTTTAAGGTTAGTAAAATATTCACCATCATTCCATTCATGTGCCACGTGCACTTTATCATTACTGCATAGTGCATACTCGTAATATACCTAACGTATAAAGCAAATGAACATACATTTACTATTTTATTTTGACAATTAGTTAGTTAAAAGTTAGAAATTGTACCTTTATTTAGATTATTATTAATTTTATTTTCAAATACAAACAAATGTTATTAACGAAACAGGGTCCCACCTATTACTCTGCTTTTTTGTATAGAAAAACCGATATTCGATACTCATGCTATTCAATTGCTATTACATTTTGATATTAATACAGCTAATAAACTTTATCGTATACATAACTGTACCAGGCAAGAAATAGATCGAATACAACGAGTAATTAAAACAGTGTTTACAACCCTTTGCGATTTAAAACTAGCTATTGATGGAACAATAGTTATGAGCCAAGGTCTACGAGAATCTCTAGATGCAATGTATGACGCTCGCATCCCACAACAGTGGTTAAAGGTAAAAAAATATTATTATAAAGTTTAATAATTATATGCATGTACAAAATGAATATTATGCGATACTTTAATATCTTAAATGTTTATGTTTCTTAGGTGTCATGGGAATCTGCAACATTAGGGTTTTGGTACACAGAACTATTGGAACGAGAACAACAATATCGCGCTTGGTTAAAGAATGGAAGACCGCATACCTTTTGGATGACCGGTTTTTTTAACCCGCAAGGATTTCTTACTGCTATGAGACAAGTAATTTTATAATGAAACTGCTCTCTTAAAGTGCATTAATTGTACATACATAACTTAAATCTAGATATAACTCATATATGTTTTTTAGGAAGTCACACGTAGTCACAAAGGTTGGGCATTAGATTCTGTGGTGTTGCAGAATCACATAACTAAACTGAATCGTGAAGACGTACACGAAGGACCTACAGAAGGGGTATATGTATATGGATTGTTTCTGGAAGGTATAAATTGCCACGTTCTGAGAATAATACTATTATTTTAAAACTGCAAATGCCCTAATGCATATACTGTTTCAGGAGCATCTCTTGACCGAAAATCTGGCAAGCTGATAGAATCTAAGCCTAAAGTCTTGTATGAACAAATGCCTGTCATATACATATTCGCTATAAATACGACGGCTGGTAAAGACCCTAGACTCTACGAGTGTCCAATATATAGAAAACCTCAAAGAACCGATGCCAAATATGTTGGATCCATCGACTTTGAAACCGATAGCAATCCAAGGCACTGGACTTTAAGAGGAGTTGCTCTTTTATGTGATATTAAATAAATTACTAATATGATTTGATTCGTCTATATATTCTTTACTTTAAGTATAAAAAGAAACACTTTGAAATACTAATGTGCAGTCATTATACTATTAACTTGGAAATATAATCCCAAAGAAATAAGCTCTGAAATCAAAGTTTTAGTGAAAAGGTTAAATTCATTTTAGGTTTCGATTTTTCTCCATTTAAAGCCCAAACAAAGGCGAAAAATATGTTTAAAATGCACAAAATATAGTGCTGAAATTTTAGTATTAATTTACTTATTGCTTGTAGTTCAGTTATTTTATAATAATAACTCCCTAAAAGTTAATAACGTCATTTTCTAATTCCCAAAATGTTCAATCCCATAACGACATTTTTTTCTTAATAACTTTAAAAAATTAAACTATCAAAGTGTTCTTTTTATCCGATTGCGACGAACCTTAAGGAGGGTTGTGTGTTTGACCTGTGTATGTATATACACGTACATCCGAAGTACGGAAAACCTCGTCAGAGTAGATGTGTTCTGTGCGGAAGACATACACACGCATCAATTCTAAACATGTACATATTATGTATGTCTCCGATGGCATAATACTATGTTCCTTCGTCGACTTGTTCTCTTCTTTTTAGTTCACTTTTTACGCAGTCGGGTCTTTTATTTTCGTAAATTATTATTTTTATTAAGATTTCCTTATCAAAGTGCAAAATCGAATAGTAACGATTTGTAATCCGGAAGAAATGTAATCACGTAATCGCTTATCCTGTTTTACTTAAATTAAATATTGAGTATAATAGGATTCAAAAGATTTGTAGTTTGTACACTCTGGTGTCCTCATCATAGCTAAACGCCGGAAGAAGCACACATACGAGATGTTTACATTTATTTTGCCAATCAGTTTACGAAACTTTTATTTGCTATCTAAATATAAGTCATAATGAGTTTTTGATCTGATAAGTACAGGCACTCATTTAGGTATATAACAATATATTCAAAATATAAACTGTTTATTTAAACATTTTTAAAATACTTAGAACACATATATATACGTTTCGTTATAATTCCGTATAATAAAAAGAATTTTATTACTAATATAATTAAAATTACAAAATAGATAACATTGTAATACGTTAAATAACTTCATAAACATCAAGCATGCATTGAAAATTTTAAGTACTCTCACAACTCTGTGAAGTGCACAAACAGCACATAATATATCCTTTCTATTCTGACAGTTCAGCATAAACACTTTAAAGCAGCTTCTTTATTTCGTCATAAAGCACCAATACGAAGGCTCCCCCAGCTCCTCTCAGAACATTTGAAAATGCACCTTTGAAGAAGGCTCTAGGGCCTTCTGTGCGAAGAATTGTTGTCCAACAATGTACAGTGCTCTTATATTGACGCTCGTGAACTGGTCGACCAGACTGCATCATCATTCGCCTTCTCACGGTATCTAAAGGATACGATGTGATCCCGGCTATTGTAGTTACCGTCTAAAACATAACATTTAATACGTTGCTGCAATGTATAAGCTCAAACAAGAATGAGGCATACATTTTATTTATTTGTAATTACAAATTAGTAAATAAATAAAAGCACACAAAAAATATTCGTCAAGGAAGAAGATTCTAGCATAGGTAACTTTGTTACAAATTATATTTTTATATTTGTCACATCACATAGTTCTAAAAATATATATTTAATATAATTATTTTTAAAAAATATAACCTAATACAATAAATACAATAAAATAAACGCGGAAAAACGTTGGTTGTTGTTGGTTGGTTGTTATTTCCACTTATGGCCTAATAAAAAACTAAAGCTTAGGAAAAGTTAAGATATTGTCCACTGACTTAACAGTACAAGCAAAGTTCGTAAGTAAAGTAACAAAAACAAGTTCAGAATGAGGACTCTTCAGCTGTATTCAGACTGTAAACGAGTCTATTTCAACGATGAATAAAAAGAGAATCTTATCAAACAATCACTAAAACAATATTTTGGATAAATGTTTGTGCCTATACTTATATAAAATCTAGTACCTAAATGTCACAATTGACGATCATTACAGCACAATTGATATGATAAGGCCAGCAATGTAACCTACAACCCTCCCGTATAGCATTGAATTGTAGGTAGAAGTAATTTATACAGGAGTATATTGCTTCAATAACCTGAGCGATGAGCCACGTGAAAAATAGGGGAGTATTTTTGGGATCCGGCATCATTCCTCGTGCAGTGTCAAATAATCCAAAATAAGTAGCGCGATAAATTATGATTCCTTGCACGGATACAACAAATCCTCTGTACCAGCCCATTGGTCCGTCAGATTTTATTGTTTTCAGCAGACAATCAATGAGACCATTGAATTCCTTGGCCTTTCCTTTACCGACATCTGCAGCTAATCTATAAAAAAAACCTTATTTAATTTTATTTACTTGCTTTACTTTTTAATTATACGCATTTTAAAGTAAACAAACCTTGTTCGAGCAAAATCTAAAGGATACACGAAACACAAAGAAGTAGCACCGGCCGCGCCTCCAGACGCGAGATTACCAGCAAAATACCTCCAAAATTGAGTATTCTTATCAACGCCCTCAAGAAAAATCTTTTTGTACTTATCTTTAAAAGCAAAATTTAATGCTTGAGTTGGAAAATATCTAATTACATTTGCCATATTGCCTCGCCATAGTGATCCAAGACCCTGTTCTCTCGGAATACGAATGAACGCATCGATAATTCCTGTAATTGATATAGCAGTTTATGGACACTTCATTATTTAAACAAGGTTCAAAACACTAAAAAAGAAAACACCTTTATATCGCTTGTCTTCTGGAATCTGTTTAGACACGTGCTGCACTTGTAATATTAGCTTGACTCGTTCCATGGGTGCCATAGCAGTTTTTGAGACTGCTGCCGATATCCCACCGGCTAAGAAATCTTTGATAAAGGCACTCGAGTCACTTGCCGTTGGCTCTTTTGGTTCTTTAGACTTAGACATTTTGCAATAACCTTATATTTATTCACTTGCAAAGATCATCACAATGAAAACGTAACAACGGCGAGTACGGGAGATTTTTGTTTTTACAATTGACGCGCTATTTAAATTTTCCTATAAACTTAAATCTGTTCAAATAAATCAACATTTGACACTTTTTCAGCATATAAAAGAAGTGTACTTTTTAATGTTCAAAATTAGAATGCAAAATAGAAGTATACTCGTAATGGCTAGTTACGATTACTTACTAAAAAATTAACAACATTGTACACGATAGTATACTTTGTACCTTTTTTGTCATCGAATGATATCGATAATATCAATTAAAATTAGCAGAATTATATGAAATAGGTACAGCAATGTATAATCTGCAAGCAAGCCTTATAATGGAATCATAAATACCATTTTATTTTAGAAAATTCTGTTTGAACCAAGTTTCCTATAGTCTATATCACAAGACATGAAAGGCTTCAAGGAAGACTAAAACCTCTTTTTTAATCAGAGAGTATATTATCCAAAAACTACTATATAGTGTAAATTCCCACACTTAAGATAGGTATAAACTGTAACTGTAAATATGGGGTGGGTGTTGTGAACTCGTGCTAAAATAGCGGCATGAGTTTTGAATAAAATTAACATGATTATCAAGTACTTAGGCTTAATCAAGGCAAATATCGGATGTAATAACTAGTAATTTTTTTTATTAACCAAGCAACAAATAAATTAAGAAATCAAAGCATCGATCACAAATAAATAACTAGATACACAATCAGCAAAAAAAAATGTCCTCACTGAATGAGCGCCAACTTGATCATTTGGGTGCGCTTTTAATTTAGTTTTTTAATACTTTCATCTTTTCGGTAAGTATTAATATTATCGAGTACTCGTCTGTCTGTCCAAGAAATATTTTTTAAAAACAAATGACTGTAACGTATTGTGTATATAATATAAGACCTCAAAACAATAGTTATTACATTTTTTGTTTGTTTGTTTGTGCGCGTTTCACGCAAAAAGTACTGAATCGATTTTAACTAAATTTTGTAAAGTAATAACTTATTACTCGGGTCAACATTCAGGATACTGCAGGATTTTTTTTCTGTCCTATGGGAAAACTCAATAACAATAATTAGTCGTCGGAAAACTTAATAACAATAAGTCGTCTTTAGAAATTTATACGGCTAACGATGGATTAACCTTTAGAGATACATCAAAACAATGTAGGTACTAAAAATTGTAGGTCTTAAAAAATCTACAGAACAGTCCTATCTCCTAAGGAACACTGGCAATAACTATTTTTATTAAAGGCAATGTCGCGACTCATTGACTGACTCATCAACGTTCAGCCCAAGCCGATGGTGATACACCAGCACAACAAAAAAGGCCAGCTTTATATATACCCATACTAATATTAAATGTGAAAGTAACTCTGTCTGTCTGTCCATCACCTTTTCAAATTTTATTAATTTTTAATTTAAATTGTTCGGGTTATACTTATATTTGTATTTTGTTCCATTTGTTGTTTTTGGGTACTTTGTAATCTTGACTATAAGACATACATTTAAGATTGAATTTGTTTTGATGTATGTTGACCAGCAAGTCTCAATACATAGCTTTATGTAAACAACTCTAAAAACCACATTTAAGGTTAAATTTATATTATTGTATATTTATTTCAACTAGAATTACCTAAACACAATTGTGTCAGTTTTAAAATAACTTTTGCATATATTTCTTTATTAGTGATCGATGAATCAAAGAATTGATTTATAAGCGTAGTTAAATATAATTTTAAAAGACAACAGGCTTGTTAGAAGTTAGAACACCAGTTTTACTTGCTAACAGTTGTTATCCAGTATAATTGAGAAGACGACGAAAGACAGAAAGCAATATAAGATGAAGAACAATTGAAAACTCAATTGATTTGTTAATATTCTCCTTCTAAATACCATCAGATAACACTCAACAAAATAGGAATATTGAAATCAACAATCGGTACCGAAAGATTCCATCACATTAAAATAAAAGATTCAAATCAAACACTTCAGTAGTTGAAAACAATTTATCTGGTTATTTTATTACTTGACTACGAATAAGAATTTAAAAAATTATACCAATATACAAATAATTTCTCTATTATATTCAGCTCCTATTCATACAGACGACTACGCATTCACCTAAAACCATCAACATGGCGCCTGTTACACTATCGTATGCGAAACATTAAAACACATCATCAAATACACACATTGACACATGGAATAAGTCATTACACATTGTCGTTAGCCATTCAAGCAAAATCGGTCACCTTTGATTAATTTAACTATCACATTACAATTATATCACAGTTGTTAATTTTCATTCGTCGTACTTTAACACTTAGGCTAATTTGTAAAATACAAGTATACCTATGTTCCCATGTTTTACGCAAATACAAATTGACTGTATTGGTAACTATAGTTGCTTCATGGAAACGCGATGGAAATTTTATTCATCTCTGAATGTATTAAATATTTAAGTAGAAGCTGTGATAAAACGTTCAATATGTAAAAATGAATAAAATGCGAACCCACTGTAATAACGAAATTACTTAAAACATTTTTCACGTATTTAATGTTATGTAAACAAACTTTTTTTCACTCACAAAAATTTATAACAGATTCTTGAGTAAAATTTGAGAAAAGAGCAAGATATGTTGATAATTGAAGAAAGAGCACGATATGTATGACACATTCAAATGAAACCAAATTTTACCAATATTTATGTATTAAAAAACTCAGCAATATGAGAAATGACAATACGCCGCGTACGCTAGTGTAAAAGGCACCGGTGTAAATAACAATTACTATGTTTAATAAAGCGGACATTTTAAAGTTACGTCGATCACAATTTCTGTACTATAAACATTCGACATTCGGCTATCTCTATGAACACCTGATTTACCACCAAGCCTTGCGATTACAATAAAATATAATCATTAAATATACATATCAGAATTTTGATTTAATTGTTTGTAACTGATATGACTAATACACAAATAAACAATCAAACAGTCAGTCAGTCACTCAGTCAATGAGTCAGTCAGTCTGTCAGTCAGTCAGTGAAAGTAATAAATAAAAATATTAAGTCCGAATGTACATAGTTGACCACATACCATTCACATAACTGAAAGCAATCGCGTGGCTGAGAATAACACTATGAGGAACAGACCGGACTATATGCAACATATGAATAAAATGCATATTTCGCACATGAAAGAAGACAAAGTATTTTCATTTTCTTTATTGAAAGAAAAGGTACAGGAGGTTTAAAAATAAAAAAATATATATAGTTTAATCACATTATTTTCATCTACAAAATAATAACAATACATATCTTGTATATTTATTTTGTACATCAAAATAATAACAATACATATTTTGTATATATAGAAATAAAAAAATATTTGGAATACAAAAAAAAACAATAAAAGGGCATGTAAATTAATAAAGTAAACGCGTGTGTGGTGTTTATATTTTGTTAGTAGCCAGCCAATGTACGAAAAACACGTACATACATATATCATATGTGCTTCCTTCTAAATAATCACATTACAACACCAGCTTAAAAATAGTACATTGTTAGAACTATATAAAAATATGCTAAAAATTATTTAAATTTTGCAAATAATCCGGTCCCTAAATTGACTTACATTATTGACGCTCAACGTTTGTCTAAACTAGAACTACAGCGGTATTTAAGGCATTTATCAGTGTACATATTCTTATTTCTTACATTATACAAGATCGGTGAAACATAATAAGGTAGCATAAATAATTAAATATATTTTAATTAACTTCAACAGCCGATCAAATATTTAGTTTTTAACAAGAAATTATTCCTATTAATATAAAGATATTATGAAAAAAATGCACTTTACATCGAAATTTTTAAATTAAATATCCTTCATTTTCAAAATATAAAAATTAGTTTAAGGTCAGAAAAGGTAGTGTCATTTTTGAAGTGAAACTTCTTTGAGCTTATGAGAGAAATTGTCACGAAAAACCGTCATGGTTGCCATAGTAACCGCTTGCAATTAGGTTGCCGTTGTTATTGTCTGAAAAATTATATATACTATTATACTATATACTATTATACTATATACTATGATATATATAATTCTTCTGTGAGTGTGTATGTCACTGAACTTCTCTCAAACGACTGGACCGATTTTGATGAAATTTTTTGTGTGTGTTCAAGGGGATCTGGGAATGGTTTAGATTCACAATTTCAATAATAATTTTCATCAAAAAAATTATTAAAAAAAGTTTGAAATTTTCAAATTAACGACGTGTAGACAGGACAACGTCTGTCGGGTCCGCTAGTATACTATGATATTCTTTCCATTGCTATCTTCAAAGATTACTATTTTTACTAATTTGTATTCAAATGTGCCAAATATTTATAACTAGCAAAATATCCTCGATTCGCTCGGATTCGTCCCTCAGAGTATATGTGATAGATGTAAGAAACCAGCTAGACAGAAAGAGATAAAATATTATTCTCTCCTCTTTGTGTGATATTTGTTTGAATCATATTTTTGTCTGACAGTTTTTATTACTAATAAATCTTACAGATTTGAAATATAATAACCAATGAAGTTTCACTTCTTAAAACGTTTCCTAAATTTTTTTATAAAGAATACTGATAAAATAGTAAATAGTACATACAAGAGAGCAGTGCGTTAGTGGATCATAGTCGTATATATGTATAGCAAGAAATACTTGTGGTAAATTGAATAATTTTGCAAATATACTAAAACTAGAAAAAATCTACAAGTGTGGTGATTAGCCATTTATCAACAGATGTAAGAGGTTATTGCGAAAATTGTCTAAATATTTATTTATCTATTATTGCGTTATTTGCGAATTTTCGCCGCATTATCTGCATTCTCCTTGAGGATCTTAGACTTGAGGTGGTCCTTGTACTTGAGAATGCCACCTTGCCATTTTGTGACTGTGCCATTTTCGCAGATCCAAATTTCCTCAGCCACCTAAAACATATAATATGTGTTTCATATTAAAAAGGTCAAAACTTGAAATTAATTGCAAAAGTTAATTTTATAACAATTATACTATAATGATAATAGAGTTTTTTTGTGTTTTTATTGAATCCTAAATATGAATTAAACTGCAATTAAATGATTTGTTTACTTGTGAAATTCTACATACAACTATAAATAATTTTTCATTGACTAAAAAAAACAAACATTAATATTAGTTCAGAAACACACTGCACTGGAAAGACAAGACTGCATATTAGACGTTTAGTAAAACTTGCAATTCAATTGATTTGCACGTTTTGACTACACTTTTAACAGGCATATAATTTTATAAATTTGGAAAAATCTTGCACGTACTTGCTGTTTTTAGTACTGTGCTCTCCACAATCTCATTTAAATCGCACAGTTTAAAGTACTTAAAAACATTGTAAATTACTGGTCTTTCTCCGCTATGAATTATCGATCTACCTTTATTCGTACGAATAGATGAGATATTCATTTTTAAAATTTATTGTAGGTAACCCACAAAGGACACAACTCTTTCGTACTAAGGTCTGCCTTCAACTGGCCATTGTGAACTTGACTTTATAATTTTATGTAACCTAATTGGTCGTGGGATTGGCAAGCAGGGCTGCGAGATCGTATAATTGGATACGAAAATGGAAAAATATGGTTATTTTATGTATATTTCATTTTAAATTATTACATATTCTTATTGAAATTTTTTATTCATCACAAACTATTTCTCAACAGTTTTGTTAATTTGTATAATCAAATTTAATTTGGAATAATTTGAGTAACCAGCAGTATAAAATAAGTTGGCTCTACTGGCAGCAATTATCTCTACTCGCAGCCCTGGTGGCTAGACCGGTGGTCAACGATGACTCACTATTTTCTTAACACAAATGAACTGTAGTGCAAATATAAAAAGACAAATCACCTGATTAATCAATCTGAAGTCGTGGCTAACAAGCACCATACCGCCATCGAATTCGTTGATGGCGTCACCCAGCGCGTCTATGGTCTCCATGTCCAGATGGTTGGTGGGCTCGTCGAGGAGCAACAGGTGGGGTGTCTGCCACGCCAGCCACGCGAACACCACGCGACATCTCTGTCCGTCTGATAACTGACGCATTGGACACACCTGCAGTATAAAGCCTTAGTCATAAATATGTTGGGACTTTAACACACAGCAACATCTAGATTCTAGTTCCATGGTAAGCTACGAGGCCTGTGTTATGCACACACATGCACATGAAAATATCAGAGCTGCGATACCCGGGATTTGAACCCGCTTTACTCAGTTTCCCAAGCGAGCGCGTCTAAAATTAAAAATATATTGTTGAGTAAAGCTTATTATACCGTCACGGAATATTCTTTGTAGAAATCCATGTGTGGAACTAATGTCTGGTTGGGTCTTACGTACGATAATTAGGTAATTTTGTATTAAAATATTGTAAACAAATACTATTTTAAAAGAGCAACTGTTGAGTTTTTCGCCGGCTCTTCTTAGCAGAACTGCCTTCCGTAGTAGATTCCTCACGGATTGACTACAGTGACATTTAATTTAAATTTAAAATGTAAAATTGACGATTCAAAAGTGCTTGTAAAAGTATATTTCAATAAAGTGTATTTTAATTTGATTTATGATATGGTGTCTCATCAGGAACAAAGATAAGTTCAAATAAATTTCAACGCCATCTACATTATATGTTTGTGTAAACGAAATAATGCGCTCGTGAATATAAAATAAAATAGTATACACTACATACTATTATCTACCCAAACAAACAAAGATAGCCCATACAAAAGCCCGAATAAGCGCTGTCCACTGTATTATTAGTATTATGTAATCTGAAATCTGTCGTAATAATATCATTCTGACCATTTTCGCCACAACTTAATGTTTATAATCTTTATCCATACGTATAAAAAAGGAAATCGCAATCGGCGAACATTAGTCTGTACGTATGTATGTGCGCGATTATCTCAAAAACTACTGTTTAGATACGCATTTCACCAGAAAGTTTTTAAAGCAGTAAAAATAGCCCTAGCACCTTTAGAAGCTGTGCTATAATGGTATTATCGAAGGTCTACCAAGCACTTTAGATGTTCAACGAAGACATCTATCTACATTTATATTTGATACATTTGGATTTGTTCATTGATTGCCATGAAAATTATCCACATGGGTATACGAGTGGTGAGAACATATTCCGGAAGTAAATCCGCAGGTTAAGGTAGGTAGGTAGGCAGTTATAACTAGATATATATACATCACCTGTTGTCTGCCAGTGAGTCCGTAACGTCCTATGATCTTCCTCATTTCCTCACGCTCTCGCACTTCTGGGAACTCCTTCATCATGTAATCCAATGGGGATAGATCCAAGTCCAGAAGCTCGTGTAAATGTTGGTGATAGCGGCCGATCCTCAGGTGAGAGTTCTTGCGTATCATACCCGTTGTCGGTACCAGCTGGAACAATGTGTGAAATATTACTTATCTACATTAACATTATAAAGAAGTAAGTTTAACCTTTTAAATGTCTGATAACACTGATTCGATTCTGAAAATTATTAAACTATTAGGAACGTACATTACTGCCAAGTGTTATAGGAATCGATCAAAAAAGTACTAGATAATTTGAGCGCGCTTTTATGGGTTTTTTTTTTCGTGAAAACAACTTTAAACATTACATTTAAAATTCAATTTAAATTGTTGGATTGTGTATCTAGTACTTTTTTTGATAAATGGCTATAGGCTATTTTAATCTAAACATAATATAATAACATTCTAACTGAGCCGAATCTGTATATTTGTATTTTAATGAAATTTGGTATGAAGATAGCTGGTTATCCGGGTCATCATATAGGATACTTTTTACTGCAGGAAAATATCTCATCTCTGAGAAATCGATACTAAAGGTTAAAACGTAAGTAAGGGCAAACCCGAGCAAAGCGAGGGTGAGTCGCTAGTATTCCTATAAAAATGTTTTTACTGTCAGAAATTGTAGTATTTTTTTTCATCTCTACTTTTGCAATAACATATTTATCTATCTATGTAACGGTAATTGAAATCGGAAAAAAGTGGTAATTGAGTTGTTTTATCGGCGTACGCTGCATAAACAATTTGATATAAAATCTTGCTCACGCTTCGCTCGGGCCCTAAGTTTGTTTTGTTATATTAGTATTAATACACAGTAAAATAGTTCGTTTTAAAAAGAAATAAAAATACTGACAGATGTGCAAAGACGAACGTATTATGCATAGTTATGTTAAAAGCAACGCGACTACTAAAATAATTATAAATAACGAAAAAAACTAAATACAATACCAGAAAAAAAATACGTCACACGAACATTTGTAATGTTACGAATCGATTGACACCCAATTCATAAAAATCAGACTAGCAGTTTAGGCGCTAAGTTGGAACAAATTTGAATACAATCATACGTACATACAGATAGCTAAAACCATAACCCTTCTTTTTAACTCTGGTTCAAAAAGCATTTCAAGTTACAACTTACCTCGCCATAGAGAAGTTTGAGTAATGTAGACTTGCCAGCTCCGTTGGGCCCGACCAGAGCCAGCCGCGTGTCGAGATCAATACCGAACTCGAGGTTCTTGTAGATCCAGGGGGTGTTATCTGTATACCTGAATGATACATTCTGAAATAAAAATCACAAATTAAATTTCATCATTAGTGATATCAATATTTCTCTTTTACTCGTATTCTTTGTATATAACAAGGAATTACAATTAAATACAATTTTATAGGAATAAGAAAACGAGTTTTTGGCCTAAAGTACAATTTTCTTTTTTTTTTAACTAAAAACTTAAATAAGTATTTAAAAAAAACAAAAGTAAAACCTTTGTATGCAACCTAAATTCGAACCTGGCCACCTGTGATCGTTGATCTTGCACTTTGGCCGCTTGACCAAGATGCTTATGTCCGAGCGTGCAAATTATCGACCATATTTTGCGTGGAATAGTGCAAAAGAAAACTGCATGAAAACTTGAAGACACGCGTTTTCTCAGACATAAGACTAATCTAGATCGATTTATCGCCCACGAAACCCCCCGCGTACTAAATTTTATGAAAACCGTTGGAGCCGTTTTCGAGATTCAGAGAACCTGCGACCGCTGGCACAGCAAGTAGGATCACTAAAAAATGTGCCAAACGTGTCTCGAAGATATAAGATAAAAGAAAGTAGAAAAAAGTAGGAAAGTGCCAAAAACTAAAAGATTCTTTTTATATTTAAATACTTTCATTTCCTTGTTCCACTATATCCAGTCAATCCATGTCAATAGGTAAAATATGTTACGTCAAAAAAGTTTATGATATTAATATTTTTAATACAATGTTGCTTAACTTTCTTGTTGCTAATATACTCATATGTAAATTATGTTACCAATTAACTCAATTATCCACACTTATATAACCTTCCCCTTTAAAAACCTTGAGAAGCCTTCAGAATGCTATCAATATGCATCATTTTAACTAATCATACAAGTTCTCAAAGACGGTCTGAATTATTCAATATTTAACCCCATATATGAATTTCATTTGAAAAGTTGAAAGTAACTTTTAGGTACACATAATTTTTATTTTAATGTTTTATATAAAATTAGGTTTAAAATAAACTAGTAAAACCAGATAAAGCCTGAAGTTATTGTTACGGACGACGAGCCTCGACCGGCCCCGACTACGAAATCTAGTTAAGTCACGTGTTACGGACTCCGACGGAACATCTACTTTAAGTCACGCCTCTTTTGAATTTCTATGTGCACGCGTGAACTATTCCACGTGTTTGATTTAGCTACGACGCTGTAATTATATGACTCATCCAAATTAAATTGATTTCCACGTGTTTGCTCATTCAGTAGTATAGAGCGTGTTAAAATTGTATAAAGATAAGAGATTTCATGTGTTCGTTGTGTGTGTTCATTCAAGTGTTCAGTATCCAGTGTTACTAAGGAAAAATAAAGTAAGAAAAGTAGCCTCAAGAAGTGTTTTTATTAAAACCCAGTCCACCACAGTAACTTATTCTATATTTGCAAATAAAACAAAAAAAAACTAAAGCCTTTATTTTTTGCATTCCAACTTATAAACTGAAACTTCATCATGGTTAATAGACCGGTACGAAATTGTTTCATTTCTAGATATTCGGATTTTACTATTGTATGAATTTGTAATAAATCCTTCTAATCCATACTAATATTATAAATGTGAAAGTTTGTGACGATAGATGAATGGATGGATGTTTGTTTCTCATACACGCCAAAACGGCTGATCGGCTCTGGATGACTTTTAGCAAAGAGATAGATTATAGTCTGGAATAATACATAGGTTACTTTTTATTCCGGAAAAATATACGGTTTCCGTGGGATAGATTTGTTTTGCCGAAGCCAAGCGAGAGTAAATCGCTAGTACCTAATCTATAATTTATATATATTGTCGAGAGTGCGGTAACGTCTTATTACCAAAAATAGAAATTTTATGAATTGAATTGAATTATTATCACTGAATTATCATTATTTTGTATAATACAAAGAAGGAGTTAATTAAAAATTACATATTTTCGATAAATTAACATTTATTTGCACTCGTTAATTCAAAAAAACTTTTTAGTTAAATTATACAGATTAATAACAGATAACAATGTGCTATTAACAACTTAGGCCTACCGTGCCTGGCTCCCACGCTCGGCTCGGGCGGAACGTGACACTTTTTCGTGCGTACAGCTGGCGTTTATCGATTTATAAGACATCACGTCAAAAATAGCACGTTTGGTATATGCTTAATAGATCCTAAGACAGACTTTTGTCAGTAAATGACAATTAACGATTAGTACAGTGGGCGGGCGGCACTGAGCCGAGAATTCAATTTAATTTCGTATCTAAAAGATGATTAAGAATAAATAAGAAAAAGTGAGATATTAAGGAAAAGTGTAGTAAAGTCATAATGCAAAAGTAACTAGCAGTGGAAAATAGTACTCAGAGATTGACTTAAGAAATGCACTCGCAACAATAAAAAAGGCAACGTCGTGACTCACGAATTAACTCATCAAGGCCCAGCCCAAAGCACTGATGATAGAAGTTTAAAATTTGGAGAGGATATTGATTTTATCCTGCGGACATCATTAAAGATTTTTTTGATAAGAGTTTTTGAAATTCATCCTTTAAGATGGTGAAATAGGGGATGAAACCTTTCATGAAACTTTGTCATTTTTAATGTAAAGTGCACAAAAAGTATTATTTACCTTTAACTGTTGACGTGGGGGCCGCTCAGGCCCAGCGAAAGTAATATTTTTGAATTACTCCTCTCTCCCCTACGCGACGCATACGGTGTTTCTAGTAGCTTCGAGTTTAGTCATTTAGAGGACTTGAGTAGTGGTGTACGTGCCGCACGCGCAATTATGGTAAGTAAATTCATTTCAAAAAAAAATTGTAGGCCTCTCTGACCCCACATCAGTATTTACGTAACTTTTTTGAAAAGTTACGTTGGTTCATATTTTGTCCTTTTTTCAGTAGTTGACTGAATAGTCCGAAATGGAACCCAGTACTTCACTTCATCCTTAAAAAAACGGACAACCAATACCGATGACAGCCCACATTTTTCTAAAACTAGAAGATAGGTTATGTCTGATAATAGTGATTTTGAGTCAGCTGTATTTTCCTGGATATATTGTGAGACTTTAGAGGCTCAAAGGCAGAAGATATCGATGACTTGCTTATTCCCGAGCAACATGAACATGATACAGATTCCTTCAGTGATTCAGAGCCTGAAGAACAAGATTAGCAAGAAGTATTCTCCGAAGACGAAATTCTACTGTCATTATTACAGTTTTACTACGGGAAATATCGGTACAAATGGACGCACAAACGACGGTTATTTTTTACTGCATGTTAGATATCAGCTCTGTCAATAGTCACTTATTGTATGACATACATCACGAAAAGGTTACTGAAAGAGGAATTTTTATAAAAGAATTGGCTCGTACTTTGGTGTTGCAATATATGATAAGAATAGTTTTTGACGAAAGACTGTCTGCCTGCCTAGTCTGCCTGCCTAATCTAATAAGCCTGACCTTCCAGAAGTTCAAGAAGAAGAGCTGAAACAAATGAGAAGATGCCACATGTGTCCGCTCAAGCTTCAGAAGAAGACTATACACACATGTTACTTGTGTAAAAAACATGTTTGGCTTCACTGCACAAAGGAAGATTGTGCATAATTTGTGAAAATAAATGCCTTGCAGTTTTTTAATTCGCTTATAGTACAAAAGTTGATTATTATACAGTTTATAGATACACTATTGAAGTTTTATAATATAAGTCAATTTGTTTACTTTGTTTAAAATTTTAAAATATACAGAGTGATTTCTGATGTCAAGTAATTTCTGCCAAAAAAACGTTAACTCTATATTAATTGTAAAAAATAAGTCTCATTTAAATAAAAAATATTAGATTATTCAGATTATTTTATTTATATACGCGTATTTAACGTAACTATTAATTATATATAACAATAAAGCCTCTTAATTCATAAAAAAAATCATATTAAGGTACGGGCCTCTGAAGCCCCCACGTCGGTGCTTACGCAAAATAAAAACCACGTCAGTAGCTAAAGGTTAAATATGTATGTCAGATTTTTTTTAATTCATCCATAAAGGGGTTAGAAGATAGCTAACGTTCATATGGGGAAAAAAGTGTGTATGATAAGAATTACTTGAAACTTAATAGTATGCTTTTCCATATAGTAAATAAACACGTATTTGTAATTAACCGACTTCCAAAAACGAGGAGGTTCTCAATTCGTCGAAATCTTTTTTTATGTATGTTCACCGATTACTCGAAGACGCCTGAACCGATTTGGAAAAATATTGTTTTGTTTGAAAGGGTGTACTTCCCAGGTGGTCCTATATAAATTTTATCGAAATCGGTCGAGCGGTTTTAAAAAAAATCAACAATAAATATTTTTTTCAAACAAATTGTTTAATCGAATATGTTATTAAAAACTTGCTTCCTACAAATTACCTGCTTATTACGTCAACACTAAAAATATAAAAATAAAAACTTAAAAAAAAACCCGATTTCCAGGCACTAAAATGTAAAAAATAACTAAACGGGGGTTTTCATTTAGAATAGATACCTAATCAGATATTTTTGAAGTCGGTGCCAGCGGACAATATTTTAAGATATGAATATCTAATAGGTATATATGTATTTTACGTATCAAAATATATTAGATTTCCTATGCGTCGGCTTAGTTGCTTAAACGGACCAACGCAGGCGGACTATCGCTAGTAATTAATATCAAAGACAATCATATAAAAAAAATATCAAAGAAAATAGACATACCTGCACCATAATGACTGGCGGAGGGACTTTCCCGCAAGATGGAAAGTAGAAGTTGAGTATTTTATCATCGATGACTTTCTCAGTGAGGCCTTGGGCAACCATCTTGGCGAGTGTCTTTTCCTTGGACTGAGCTTGGCGAGCTAACTTGGCTGAGCCGTGACCAAACCGCGCTATGTAATTCTAAGTACATACAAAAAAACAGAATAAAGCATTTCTTTAACTTTTTCAAGTAATTTGTAAAGAAAATTTCTCAATTCAAAGAAAAACGGCGAAATAAATTCAAGAGGATTTTACAAAGCTGGTATAATAAGTATTTCTTAGATATCCTAAGAATGTTATTTTTGGATATTTTAAAATCTGTATCTGTCTGTTTCTTTGTTTGTTCCGGCTAATCACCGAAACGGCTGAACCAATTTTGACGGGACTTTCAAATAGCTAATATTATAAAGAGTAATTAACGCTACATTCCAAAACAATTAAAACCCATGAAATTGTGAACAAATCGGCGTACCCGATGCACCAGAACAAAGCTAGAATAAGTCGCTAGTCCATACTAAAAATCCAACAGTATCCTATATAAAGATGATCAAAAAAACTAAGTGCCCTTATAAATAACATAAATAACAAAATATGCAGTATGCCTACAGTATAAATACCTTCATATGGGCAATCTGGTCCTGTTCCCAGTTATACTGTTTCATTTGGTTCTCGAGTAGTTCCATGCGAGTGCGAACGAACGCTTCGTAGTTACCCGTGTAGTACTTGAGGCGACGCTTGCTCATGTGTATGATGTTAGTACACACACCGTTCAAGAAGTCCTGAGAGTGCGATATCAAGACGAGAATACGTTTGTACCTAGAAATTGTTTTATTTTATATATCCATTGTCTTATGGGTTAAATTAGGAACCCCCCAATGTGCGTTCACCTTGTCGTGGTAGGGGGGCCGGAATTTTTTGCCCGGAAATACAGCCGGGCGAAGAAACGCACAGGGAGGTGGCCCACTTCGGTGGGCAGTGTACCATGCGGGTTGCTCCTGGTACTTCTCTGATAACAGAGTGGACCGTAGAACAACTCCATGGTTGTTGTGGTCTGCTTCGGCAGACATGCCGTCGGGGCGTCATGGTTGAGTGCGTTAGCGATCCTGCGACGCACCAATAAGACGGGGGAGGTTTTGTTGGGTTTCAGTAGGTAGTACTGGCTTTACCTGTATGTGTACAGGTGGTATGCGTGAATGCATTCCCCAACATAAAAAAAAAAAAAAAAAAAAAAAACAAAAAAAAGGTAATAAATTATACTTAACTTGATAAAACTTGATTGTCTTATTACATTATTCATTCATTTACATTTCAATTACAAACTTCTTTCTTGTTTAGAAAACATTAAGGCGTTATAAAACGTTATAAATAATAATAATAAAAGTTTAAACTAAATCATTTAAAACAATTCAATGTACCAACTTGAATGATGCAATGAGGCAGATTGGGTTAACAGTCAATTACTTTTAAATAAAATTATATTTTCGGTTTTTTTTTTCGCGGATTTATCATGGTTTACGGGTGGTCACAGGAGGTCACGGTCTCTCCCGTGACCATGATTGCTGTAAAGCATTCGAAACGTCGGGAACCAAACATCTAAATAAATCCGCATAAAACATTCACGTAAATTTAATAATTATTTAGTTAATAAATATTTTCTTAAACTTACTTATTATATTAAATGCAGTATACATATAGTATACTAGAGTGAAAACATTAAATAATTGAAGAATATAGATTTATTACCCAACTTTCACTATATTACAAAAAAGTAACTTGTTATTCTTGAATGTTATCAAAGATTATGCGAAAAAAAAACTTCATTCAAACCAAAAAAAATTAATGAATTATTAATTTTAAAAATCAGTGGCACAATTTCGTTTTATTTCAATAAGTTTTTTTATAAGCTACATTACATTACCCGCCCCCAAGCTAAGAAGAAAAAAACATTTTTATTTCGACCACCCTAATATATACATATACAAGTGACGACAAGTTTGGCTCAGTTTGTAGTGACCGTACTCGCTGTGCCAGCGGTCGCGGGTTCGGGTCCCGCTAGGGTATACATTTGTGTTATGAGCACGAATGTTTGTACTCTAGTCATGGGTGTATATATTTATAATATTTATGTATTTAAAAGTTATATATATGTAGTGTATCAAGTATCTGGTATCCAAAACACAAGTCTCGTAGCTTACCGTGTAACTACATGGCCCTGTGTGTTAATGTCCCAACATATTTATAAAAAAAAGAGTCTATTGAAACACAAAACCTACTGCTTAAGTTCTTCCTCCAACCACACACAGGCGTCGAGGTCCAGGTGGTTGGTCGGCTCATCCAATAGGAGCAGATGCGGCTTCACGTACAGCGCGCGAGCCAGCGCTATGCGCATACGCCAACCTTGCATTATAAAACACCATTATTATGATATGTTCTGTATAATATGTGGGATTTGCGGAATGAAAAATATTCATTTTTCGAAATTCATTATTCTAAAACCTCTAAACATCTAATTCGTAATATAATAAAAGCCGTAAGCAACGGCTAATTATTTAGTCTATGAATATAATACTCATGAAGTTTGTTCATAGATATTACCTCCAGAAAAGTCTTTAGTGGCTTTTTGCTGCATCTCCTTGGTAAAGCCAAGACCGTGCAGAATGTTAGCGGCACGTGCTTCAGCCGTATCGGCGCTTAGATCGTCCAACCGGTCGTACACGTCTAACAACTGTTCTTGCGACTCTATTAGAATTATTAATAACATAAAAAACATAGAATTAACCAGAATAATGTTGACGCTCAATAAAACAAACAATACATTCTAAAATTTTAGACTTTTTATGGTTGTCTTAAATAATCTTAAACGTACAATGTTTAGAACTCAACAAAGGATTAATACGACATACGATAAGAATTCATGACAAACCCGTTTTTATTATATAAACCAAAAATATTTACTTGTACCGAATGTTGTTGAATCCAACATCTAAAAACTAGGCTGTATTAAAAATAACATCTTCTAAAAATACTACTAATATAATGACTTTGACTAGAACAATGTAACAAATGATCCAACTTCTGTGGATAATTTTAAGGATATAATTTCTGCTGAAAGTGAGCAGATTTCTCAAGCCACTTGAGAGCAAAACAATGACCTCTTACCATCATCTTCACAATGAGCTAACTCTTCAGCTAGTTTCTCTAACTGAATTCTCTCTTCGTCGACCTCCATAACGCATTGTAAAGCGGTTTTATCGGACGCCGGCATTTCCCGGGTTAAATGGAATATATCAATGTGACCCGGAATAGGCACTTCGCGGCGTCCCAGTGCCGATAGCAACGACGACTTGCCTATGAGGAAACAATAAACATAAATAATATATCTATAGAAAATGTATATGAGAAACTTTGCAAGAGGAAATAAAACATACAATATTACGCTGTTACAAAATCGGGCTTGTTACAACACTTATAACTTGAGAATTGCTGGACCGATTTTTATGATCTTTGTTTTGTTGGATTAACATCTCGCGGTAAATTTCTAAAAATTTAATTGTTAACCGAGCTACCTGTGGCTCGGCAGTCGTTGGGAGGTTAGTCTTCGCCCCAAATAGTAGTATAACTATTAAAACATCGGAAGACACACGGGAAAAAAATCTATTCCACACTAAGCGTCAAAACGTGAGTCGCTACTTATTTATATTTAATAAACTATCCGGATTTTCAGGGTAGTAACGTATTTTTAATATAAAGTGACTTTTATGCCAAATATTTTATTAATAATTTGTTTCAGTACATAATATATTTAACATGAGTTGTTTTTATTGCGTTTTCGATTGTTAGTTTGATTGAACGTAGTACTCTGTGGAAGAAACATACACCCATAACCTTCAATAATAGCATATTTATTGAGGGTTATGTATATCTTATATCACGCTACGTCCACATACATATGAATATAATACACGTATACTACGTACACATGAATATAATACACGAGCGTAGCTGTGAGCAAAAACTAGTTCAAATAGAATCACCCACGGTCAAGTACACTTGCAGGTCATAAATTAATCAATCGCAGAGCAATCAGTATTATATGCATCTAATAGCTATATTGTTTTCGCAATACAAAGTGCAAAGTGAAATGAATAAATACGTTTAGCACAAATGTAGTTCAAGCTCTAAGAAGAAAAAAATAAAAGTATGTATTCCATGTTCCTTACAAGATATAAGAAAATTAAGAGTTTATTTTTCAATGTTTTTAGAAGAACCTAGTAGCAATTCACACAGCATTAAAGGAACATTAAACTGTATAAAAACTTTACTTTGACTATTGTACATACACATGTAATCGAAGAGTTTTGAGTCAGCTTAATAAAAATATAAAATAGCTTATACTAAACAAACCAAAATGTTATAACATTCATATTTTTCTTTCAACTTCACTAGACTTCCGAATAATATATAATGATACTATGAAATGAGTGTAGTTTAGCTAATCAATTATAGTCTACTGCTACACTACACAAATGGATAATTTTATGAGGGAAATCCAAACTTGAATATTTAACTCAATAATGATAGGATCAAATTGTAAACACCACAATTATACAATTGACATTTTAAGTGATTGCAGACAAAAGTCATATAAAATTTACAAGATAATTATTTATTTGTATTTTTGAACTTTTAGTTTTAAATAATACTTAAAAGATTATCTCTATAGTTTAGTTTCATAATTAATATTTCTTTGAAGTTGACTATTTATGTATATTATAAGTTATAAATTAAATATATTTTTTTATTTGATAAAATTGAAAATAGTTCCTTAAATTATTTATATCATTTGTGTTGAATTATATTAAAACTATCAACTCATTCTCGTTTTTCTCGGGAACATCCTTACTAAAAAACAAAAATAAATCTATCCCAAGGGAACCTTACATCTTACTGGAACAAAAAGTAACCTATGTGCTATTCAAGACTATAATCTGTCTGTGCCAAATTTCATCCAGATCCGCTCAGCCATTCTGGTGTGATAGAGTAACAAACATCCATTCAAACTTTCGCATTTGTAATATTAATAATGGGATTGCATCAGTGTACACATTTGTTAATAGAATAGTATTTTAAATAGTGTGATGGTAAATGTCAGGTTTTTTATAGATGAGTTGGCATCTTTTAGCTTGTATAGCATATTACTTGAGGATATCTTCTTTCTTTTACAATAGACCGAATAATCCTTAGTCTATTCTCCATATTTTTAATATAATCAGACAATAACAAAAATCAAGTTATAATCAATGTAAATTTTCACATCATGAGGGAGTTGAGACCACCACTTCCACATTTAAACATTAAGTAAGATTAAATGTATTTCAAATATGAACATACAAAAATTTAGATGTGCCCAGCATTTGACAAGTACACTGAAGAATTTCCAATTCTTAATTAAACTGTCAAGCATTTAAGCAAGCTTATAGTTCCATTAAGACTGGCATTGTAAAATATCAAATACCATTATTTATAGAATTATGCATTAGCAGTCATAGTAACTTTTAATTACTTAAAAAAACTATGTAAAAATCTGTTGGTACGATCACTATAAGAGTAAAAATTATATAATAAATTGTTGAAAAGTTGATAAATGATACTAAAATGGCTGATTTTTATGGACCTGAAGCTAGCGGCCGACTAGCAGCCGGCCACCTGACGAATTAAACAAAGGGCCGCAACGGTATCGCGGCGTCAAAAACACATGTTATTAGAATAAATACGCTACAGATGCAATTAAATATTACTTTTTAATCATTTTAAATACAATAATAGGAATGTATAGTGTTTTATATAATTTAATACCAAATTTTTAAATTCAGTAATGTTTGTGTCCGTTCTTAGCGTAAAAGGTCATTTAAGTCAAGAAAAACTAGAAAGCATGCTTGAATCTTGCTGATTTTTTTACTGAAGCTTTCTATAATATGTATTTATTCAAAATTATACAAATTTTGCAGAATCAAACACTAAAAATGTCGTAAAAAAATTTTTTGTTGTTATTGAGAGCGCATAATTGTAAAAACAACATTAAATTCCATAAAAACGATAGAAAGCAAACTAGGAGTTAATTGATTTTTTTATATATTATTGTACTTTTATACACTAACAGCAAACCGTTTGAATTAAACAGGATCAAGCCGTAGTTTATTTGTAAAAAAAATTTTCAACTGCCTCCTGGCACGTTTTTATACTAACATTCAAACGTATGAAAATACGAGTTGATATTTTTACTATATATTCTTTTAATATCAAGCAACTCAAAAATATTTGAATCTCGTAGAATTAAGGCATAGAATAGTTGTAAAAAAAATTTTAATATTCCCATACTAGCCCATACTAGTTTCTAAGAAAAATTTTAAGTCTATAAAAACGATAGATAGCAAACTGGGAGCTCGTTGATTTTTTTATATATTATTGTACTTATATATACTAACAGAAAACCGTTTGAATTAGACAAGATCAAGCCGTAGTTTAATTGTAAAAAAATATTTAATATGGCCTCCTGGCACGTTCTCATACTAACATTCAAACATATTAAAATACCCCCCATATGGGTAGCCCATACGGGCTAGTATGAGAATATTAAAAAAAATCTTACAACTCTTCTATGCCTTGATTCTACGAGATTCAAATAGTTTTGAGTTCCTTGATATTAAAAGAATATATATAAATAATCAACTAGCTCCTAGTTTGCTTTCTATCGTTTCTATGGAATTTAATGTTGTTTTACAATTATGCGCTCTCAATAGCAACAATAATTTTTTTTACGACACTCTTAGTGTTTGGTTCTGCAAAATTTGTATAATTTTGAATAAATACATATTATAGAAAGCTTCAGTAAAAAAATCAGCAAGATTCAAGGATGCTTTTTAGTTTTTCTTGGCTTAAGTGACCTTTTACGCTAAGAACGGACACAAACATAACTGAATTTAAAAATTTGGTATTAAGTTATATAAAACACTATACATTTCTGTTATTGTATTTAAAATGATTAAAAAGTAATATTTAATTGCATCTGTAGCATATTTATTCTAATAACATGTGTTTTTGACGCCGCGATACCGTTGCGGCCCTTTGTTTAATTCGTCAGGTGGCCGGCTGCTAGTCGGACGCTAGTTTCAGGTCCATCTGATTTTTAAATTAGGTTATTAAATATCCAAATAAATGGTTAATTATTATGATGCATGTTGAACAATAAAATAAACAAATAAAGTTATGGCTAAACTAGTTTTTTTTTAATATTTAGATACTTACCACAACCATTAAGACCAACAAGCCCATATCTTCTGCCACAATTCAACTCAAGTAATGTATCCTGAAGTAGCTCACTGCCATAGAAAGTGATGGAGAAATTGGCGATTTTTATGTCTCTTGAGCGTGGATGGACTGCCAAAGACCCAGTACAGGATCTGGCTTCTGAATTCATTTTAGCTTCAGCTTCTAGTTTCAAGCATAGTGCTTCTGCAAAACAAAATTTAATGTTTAATATTTCCATTACATTATAAACAAAATGAAAAAAAAAATCATATCTAAAAATGTACATAGGTACTTTATGATTGTCAAAAGTTAAAAGTATTTTATATTCACTTCAGTAAACTAGCCGCGTAATTTTAAAAAACTGATACAAGTAATAAAATCGTTTATAACATAATTTAATAATCGTAATTATGTTAAGGTTAATACTTTACAATTATTAGTAAGTACCTTCAGCTGTAAGCTCTCGGTCTTCTTTCCCTATACCGTTGGTTGAACCATTAGTCTCCGCATTAGTAACTCTCGCCACAGGTTTTTTGTTCCTATTGGTGGCTTGCTCTTTTTTCTTTTGTTGCGCTCGTTTCTTTGCATCAGACGGCATTGTGCTGAAGCTAACCTATGCAGTCATAAAATTTCCATGAAATTTCGCACGTGAACAACTCGTGCAGTTACCACATTGAGTTGTATATAATTGCATTACATTACTTATTATAAATTGTATATTTCACTTCACATTGCTATAACCGTATCATGATTTAATTATTATACATTCTTGAAAAATCCCTTGTACCAACAGGTTGGAAATGACTTTAATATTCATATTTATAAAATGATTTTATACCTATTAATTTTATGCGATGATAAGCAAGTCGACCGCGTCTACACGTGCAGCCTATCGAAGAAAAGAAAGACAATTTAAAAAACCATTGACAGTCTGTGAACATTCAGTTTTGACACTAACAGCTGGATATAAGAAATTCGCACGGCAACCAAAAGCCGACCAATCACGTTCGAATAAAAACTTTAGTCAGATCAATGAAAACTTTTCATTGGTCGAAGTTTACATTGTATCCGATCCACGAGTTAAATAGTCTTCTCCATTAGGGCAACACTGAAATTATTGAAAGTAATCTACTTTACAAGATAAAAATAAAACACAATATAATAACTTCCTATTACTATTAAAGAACATGGATAAACTTTTATTATTAATTTACGGTGCTTTTGTTTTTACTTGTAAAATAACACTCATATTTTGTACATTCTGCATATTTTGAACATGATTTAACCACTAGAACCCCGCGCTTTATGATATGCAACACCCGTTGGCCGTTAAACACTGAGCCAGCGCGTCATTTTTCCCCGATATAACCACGCTTACGATGCAGGCACGAGATATCATGGGACACTTTTAGGAACATCAAAATAAAGGTGTATACGAGTTTACAGTTTATTATCTGTCATTTCAAAGTGAGTGTAGTCTCCTTAATCTGTGCCCCTTGTCCATGATTGAAACTTTGAAAGCAATTGATGGATATTTTGATTGATGCCCAAAGAGTATAGATATATGTTGATGCCCATTAACAGGAGCCATTGAAGTTGCCAATTGATCGTTACTGAATCATTAACAATCGTTTCCGTTAGGTTTTGTAATTTGAACTGAACAATTAAAATGATTTAAATTATTATTAAAAAACTCTAATTAAATTACAAACATGGTGGATACCCCACATAATTTAGAGGACCGTGAATTTTTTTCACTTTTAATATCTTTGTATCAAGATCGCCCTGAGTTATGGAAAATTAAATCAAAACATCCGAGCAAAGATAATAAAGTCTAGCAATTAAAAGTATTGTTAATATATTGTAAACTTGCAGAACTGATTTTGATGCAAATAAATATATAAAGAAAATCTATGTTCTGCGTACAAATTTCAATAAAGAGTGCCAAAGAATAGAAAAAGCTAAGAGATCAAGTGGATCCAATGAAGACCCCACCTTATGGTCCTTTTATGAATTTCTATTTTATAAAAGACCAGCTAGAGCCTAGATGTAGCAGAATCTGAATCTTCTGAGGTGAATAAATCAAAAACATATTTGTACTTTTTAAAGTATTATTACAGAGTAATGCAAGTCAAGTGTCAATGTTAAAAACAACTGAGCGCCAAGGTTTGAACAATGCATCTATCATGGATGACAAATAAAAGCATCTATGAAAATGATCAATCTCCCACAGCCCACTTCAATTGCAAATTGCAATTGACAATACCGAAGCACATTGACAATTGCGATTGATCGTCTCGGGTCCGATTTAGATGAAGATGCTTTGCATATAAAAAATCGATTGGAATGTTGTGTTAATTCGCATCACCAGTTTATAACTATACTCTTTGCGCATCACGCAAGTCAAATGTCATCATGACTAATCCTTCTGAACGATGGTTTTAACTTTTAATCGGGGTTGTTTGTTGAATTATAGTAGGTACTTTAAAATGTTTATATTTAAAAAAAATATCTAATATAAATAGTTATAATACTTTTCTCATTTATTTGCTAATTGCACAGCGCACCATTTTAAATTCATATTTACCACTTTAAACAAACAGACAGACAGAAATGATAAAAATTGTTTTTCTTAGAAGTACCGTATATGTTAATGTATTTTGTTCTGTGGCTTATAGACGTGCCATTTGGGCACAATTTACTTCGTCAATGTCGTGTAGAATGGAGAAGACACGGTAGAGATTGAGAATTGATCGGTTTAAAAAAGAGATTTTTTCCCTGAGGACTGAAATACCGTACATAATTTCATATGCATTTAGTAAAAAGTTATTTTGACATTACAAACCGATACTTCAATTTTATTTATCTGTATATATAGATGAATACGAGTTTTTTCATTGTTCGGCGATGGCTTCAATACATTTTTGCTTGTCAGTTTTGCTATCGAGTTTTCCCAAACGTTTCATGGGTCAATATTATATTTATATTCCCATTCTCACCTCCTTATGGGATGATTTCCAAGATAAAAACTATTTCACTCACTTTTAATATCATAAGATTTAAAATAAAACTTATTATGGTAAAAAAACTTTTGATTTTTTTCTATACAAAGCTTGTCCTGATAATAACAAATACAAAAAATACAATTATCCAATTTGATGCAGTCGACCGGAAGTTATGCGCGTAGATACAAACATTTCGGTTATTCATTGTTATTTAAACGGATGTTTAATTAAAATTTTATGAATTATAATTAAAACATCACCGTTAAACGAGCAAAATTTTATAGAAACAATCAATAAAAGACTAGTTGGAGAGAGAAGTTTAATAAGATAGTAACGTCGATCATAAATAATATTTATTGAAATATTTTAACAAAATATGTAGTTACAATAGTTGAAGCTTAATAATTATTAATCACCTATATATGGTTCATAGCAACAATCCAATATGTAAAAGGCATAATAAAGAAATAAATATTGCATTTTATGCATAATAAATTTCTTTTAACATACTAAGTCTAGGGTTTTAAATACTACCCCTTATTTGCTACTAAAATATTGTATTGCAAATGTTTATTATTAACCCGTTTAATTTTTATGTGGTGTTGTACTTATTGCTAACAATAAGACTAGGAAAATCAATACTAGATTAGATTTAGATGCAAGAGAGAATTGAAACATTTTATACCTAAATATTAATTTTGTTTCAAATGGATGACCGGTACCTACATGAATTACGAATTATTAAGTACCCAATAAAATTGCCCTAGTTTTATGCTATAATTCAAAAATTTAATTGTAGCTTAATAAGGTAAAGGTTAAATTTTACGGCCTGCCCTATTGAAAAACTCCAATAGGATCCCATCAAAAGCGACAAAAGCCACATAGATTCATAGAAACCACTAAATATTTATTGGTTTCTATGTGGCTTTTGTCGCTTTTGATAAGATCCTATTGGAGTATTTAAATAGGGTTGTGGAATACATCGATTTAATTGCATTTCTTTGCGTTCTGGAAATAAAACATTATGGATAGATATTAACATACATACGTATAGTGTGGACAATGGACATACTTTACTTAACCTTTCATTTTCTTGTTCACTAAGTATACCTATATGTCAAAATACAACACACCAACACATTCTTTGCAATAACATGCCGTATTTAAATATTAAAAAATATAATGTTTACACTAGCAGTGTATTGGAGAAATATTAAAGTTACACTTTAATTACGTTATATTTTATCTGCGTTATTTTTATAGTATAAGATTTATCAATTCATATTTGTGAAGGTTAGCTGTAGTCTGAATGTTGGATGGTATTGATAACACAAAAATTGATTTTTATAAATAAAAAGAACTAACTTTGTCCATCCTTTTAAAGTTTACTATACTGAACTCTATTTAAAACTGTCATAACAAATTTTATATATGTATAAATAAATATAAAGTTGTTTGTCCTTTACTTCTGACCAATTCATCATCACTCATACGAAACCGTCAACCGAAGTCGAAACCTAGTTTAGTAGAAAAGGGTTTTTAAAGTTGAACCCCTAAAGCTGGAAGAGAGATGGCAGAATATTTATTAAAAGTAAAACAGGAGCAGGCCGGTAGCATTAAATTGTGTTACGCGCTACGCTAGTTTATTCGAAGACGATCAAGTACGCCTTCATACAGACGTTTTGGGCGGGACGTATGATTTTCTGTTGTATATATAAAAATTTTATTAATTACTGTCAATATAACGATTATATCAGGAAAAGTGTTTCATTGTTTTACAATTGTATTTTAAATTAGTGTAAGTGTATAATATGTTATTATGATTGGCAAACCTCTTAAACCTCGATTGTGTAATGTGGTCGGCTTTTTGTATCCCAATGAGCCAACTTGTTCACCAATACAGTGATTTTTGTTCAAGATGTTTGCCAGTCTCTATAATTAAATATCTTAAAAATAAATAAGTACACATAGAAAGTATAAATACGGCATTATTACAAAAATGTTTACATTTCGGGGTTACAAATTACAAATAATGTAGGTATCTAGCATTCAACTAGCGCTATCGGCATAAAATAATTTGTTAACTATCTAGAAGTATTTTATACTAAGTACTTAACAAAAATCTGTTTAATAATTAATAATTAAATTGAGTATGGAAATTGTAAACACTTATTACAAATTGGAAAAATCACATATGGATAACTTTTTGTCAAAATAAATATACTACACCTACTTAGGTATGGCTTAAAACTAGTTGATCGAACGCTTAAAATATTAACCTACAATCGCTTTGTTCTCACTAATAAGACTTTTATGACCGAATTTACATTCATTTAAACGGATTATATCACAATTTAATACTAAAAATCTATTGAGAAGGTCCTTCACTCGAAAGATCGTGTACTGATGTTATTTCTTATCATATTTAGTTCCAGGCAGTAAAAGGGATCGGATGCGTTATGAATTCCTAATATTACTGAATAATGTCGTTGTTCGAAATAAATAATTTTAAACTAAAATATCCTTAAATACTGTCGACTTGATTAAAATATAATTAAATAAAAAACAAAGTGAATAATTTATCAGAGTATACAATTTTATCAAAACTTTCAACATTACATGTAAATTCCTACTATTGTAACTTATTTTCCGCTCTGAAATTGTGAAATAACGTTTATATTATGTATTCGTTGATATTAATTAATAATTTTTGTCTATCTACTTTTATACGTATATAATATATTTTTTTCATATTTTTTAATAATTTATCGATTCATATATAGGACAAATTTTTAAACATGCAGGATTAACAATTTAGCATAACAATTACGAGGTAATTGAATTATAATTATTATGATTTTTTTAAAGTATGTAATCTAGGTACGTTTAACTTACTTACTGTAATGTCCCCCCTTAATTTAATTAGATAAAGTAAAATGGAAGATACAAGTGACATAAAATTACAAATATATAGACGAAATAAATTAATTAATACGGAAATTCTACTAAGATCTCACAATATGATTTCAATTTAAAAAAGGCAACACTGGTATTGTTAAATTATTATTAGAGCTAACTCGGAATAATTAAATAGAAACTTTTTTACCCAAATATAATATTTACTAATAACTTTCTTCAACAAGAATATTATTACAACATAAGTTCCTACGACATAACACACGATAGCAAAGCATAAAGCATTGCGAAAAAGTTAAGAACTGGTACAATTTTTTTTTTAAAACAATGAGTCTTAAACTTACACTCAAATATAACAACGATTTTTGAAAATAAAAACTGATAAAAGTTTATATTATTGCACTCGAAATTAATGAACACATTGTAACACACAAATTAGTTGATTACATATAAAGTGTAAACATTTTATATTTATTGCTTTTTAAAACAATCCATAACACGAAGCAGAGCAAAGAATTAGCTCTATTACATATTCAGTGAGAAACTGGTATGTCCTTTAAATATGGCAAAATTTATTGAATGAAAACTGTGTGACAAGTGCCATATTTGTACTGTTTGTAAATTTAAGTTTTTAAATTTCACATAAAATTTTTCCATATATAGATTAAAAACTCCGTGGAATAATGAGGCTTATGTTAATATTTAACAGCGCACAGTTTTTACTTATTAACTATTTTTGGCTTATAAATTTTTTGCCTCTGGTTGTTGCTAAATACGACTGATGGTTATTATGATCGTATGTAGATGTGACGACGTGTGTGAGTTAGGAACAAATGAACATATGAACATATGTAATAATTAAGAAAGCACATGCACCAACATAAAATTTACAAAAAAAAAGGAATGTAAGGGAAAACTAAAAAACAAAAGAAAAATAAAAAAATACATAATTTATTATAATCACAGATGTTTCCGCACTATGCCGTTAAAGTAATATCAGACCAATAAAATCATGTCCATATAAATAAAATGCAACTGACAATCCACATTACGTAGGTACAGGCCTACGGCCGTCAACAGAATTAATAATTTAAATGGAATAATAATTCACAAAAAATAAATAGTAGTCTTAAAATACGAGAGCTATGTACAATCAAATACCATTGTATTACATATATATTGATGTGATGTGGGCGCGACTGGGGCCGAGCCTAGTGTTGCAATGTAAAATAAAAATAAATTAAAGCGGGATTGGAACTAAAATATACTGTGGGGTGTAACACATCCTAAGATAAATAAGAATAATTTAGAATTTGCAGGCCAATACAGTTTTAGATATAACTATCCCACCGTGGGGTTATCTAGCAACACTAATCAAGCGTGAAGTGGAGGAATGGAACGGAGGGTTCCGTCCATGGATCGCGAAGTGGATAAAGGGAGATGTTGGGATCACGTCATGTTAACCCCGAGGGATCGGCTTGTGTATTCGTAGACGACGTACGAGATAGAGACGGCCGGAATGACCTTGATGAAGTTGGGCGTGATCCCTCGATAGAGCCCACGCAAGCCCTCCCTCTGCACGATCTCGCGAAATGCACCTCGCATTGTGCCTTCTGCGCCCTTCGCAGCTTTTTCTGTAATTAACAGTTTTGTTATTACACCATTGTATAGGAAACGGTCTAACGTTTGAACTCGCAAGAAAATTTTGAAATATTTTTTCTTAATGCTATAATCGCGCATATATACAGGTAAAAAATCATAATACAGTATATAAATAATGGCATAATTTCGCTTTGCCCTATAAGTTTACAGTTTGTTACTTTAATAAGAATGCGTGATTTATAGTAATTTGTAGGCCGCTAAGAACATTCGTCGTAGCAAAATATTAAGGATGAATATTTAAGTTATAAGACGATGAATAATGTAGATGACGTCATACCTTGGGCTTGCAACCGTGTCCGCACAAGCGCTAGAGGGTAGGAGCACACTTGTCCCAGCGTGCACGAGGCGCTGCCGCAAGCGAGCAGCAGCAACATGCCCGGTTGTTCGTTGTGAGCCTGATACTTGTTTATATACTTCTTCTTCAGAGTTTCATACACCGCAAGATCGATGCCCGCATAAGGCACTATCCCCAGGATATTTGGAATGTATCCTTTGTAGAAACATTTAAGTCCCTCCCTCCTGTATATCTTCTTCGCAGCATCCATGATGCCAGTATATTGGCCAGTTTTTCTTAAAGCTAACCTTGTCTTTAGCACCTCTAGTGGGTAAATCACAGTTTGACTAATCGCACCCGCTGTAGCTCCGGCGGCGAAACGCTCGTATATTTCTAGTGGGTGGTTATTTTTTTCGCCTTTTATCAAGCGCTTCACTTGCTCGTACGCGGCAAACTTTATCGCCGATTCTGGAGCTATCTTTATAACGTTTATTCCGTTACCTCGCCACAGTCCGCTAATACCTCCTTCATTGATCATTCTAGCTAAGCATTTGGTCATATTTTCCCTAGTTGGATTTACCTAAAATAAAAATTTGGAAAATGTAAATGTTTTTGTAAATCCAAGTACATTATGTATCTAAATGTTATTTTTTTGGCATATAGAATGTATAAATGCAATGAATGTAAGTATTTCATTCTAGAATAGAGACGACAGACATTAAATAACGTCAGATAATTTACATTATATATGCTTCGATATTAGTTTGTCTACTTAGAAATGTTTCAGTAACAAATAAAGAAAGCTGAAATAAATCACTTTAACAGCCTAGATGTACAAACCTGTAAAAATACTTTAAGTCTATCAAGAGGAGCCGTGCAGGTACGGCTCACAGCTCCAGCAATACCGCCAGCTAACAAATGTCGCCACCACTTTCCCGTTTGCAATTCACTTGGAGTGAAATCATCTGGTACATTCATATCCTCACCAATATCCAGATACTGAAAGGAATACATTTATAGAACGTTAATATTTATTACTACACAATAAACTAAAATGATATTACTATAACGCATTTAAGAAATGTAGTAAATATATGACCTCGTTAAAGTTGGATGGTACACGGCCATTTTATATATTTAATTTGCTCAACTGAAATTATTAACTATGTGACTGTAAAAACAAATAAAACAAAAGACTTAACTGATGTCGAAACATCATTAAAATTGTTGCTATGCTAATACATACATCGTCTTTATATGAACAATTTCGTTTTAATTGATCAAAAGAATGTTAAGTCGGGTCTCGGTTTACAGTTGCCTATTAAGGAAAGCGGTAAGTGTAAACAATACCACCTTCTATACAATCGACTTATAGTACCTATGGTTTAGATTAGATAAGTCATGAATAAAAAACATATACATTAGAAACCATAATTAGGTAGTGAAATGCATATAATATAACTACAATATATTGAAGTTAGTAACGTTATTACACTGTCCCGCAACTAGCAACATCGTCTCCGTTGCAACCGCCAATCTCGTGTTTCTTTATGACTTTACTTATCCAGATTCTGGTATGATATGTTATTTGTTCGGTCTGTTTACATACACAAGGTATCGTTTAGGTATTAGTTACTAATACTTGGAGAAAACTTATATAAGAAAGACAAAGTTGTGTAAGTTTTTAATTGGTATAGGTATTATTATTAATAGGTTTCTTATCGTCAATACGTACTTAGTTTAAATCATAATTGTTAAGCAAAATTTTTGTATACTACTTTGTGTTAATATACTAGATACTCAGGTCTATATTAATATTAATATAAAATAATACAAAAAATAAGTTGCAAAATAATTCTTAAACATTTACCGCAATATTTAAAAAAATATTAGTATTTGAGTTCAGCATCATGGTTATAAAGGTTATTAGATATTCCCAATACATTATTTTGGTTTTATATAGCACTATATTTACGAATAATTTTAGTAATATCTGTACCGTTATATTCATAATTGTTTTTAAATATTTTTATGAAACTTATACTTTACAACATGTCACTTTAGAGGTCAATTGACAGCTGTTCATCAAAATAATTATATTATTCTTTGTGTATTGGAAAAAAGTTAATATATTATAGACTGAACCTATTGATACAGTAATTGTAAGAATAATTTATTATTATTACAGTTCGCCTGGTAATCAAACTTCGACCATGATTATAATTGATTTTTTTTTAATTTATAAAACTAAAGCTCGTCAATAGCAATTAAACTAAAACAAAAAATAAGCAGATCGGTTCACAAACAAAATGTTTATTTTAATTAATTTAATGTATTTTATATAAAAATACCTATTAGCTTTCTACTCTTGACTATCTGACAAACAACCCACAATCAGACGCTGAGTCTAACAACATAAAATTCTGCTCTAGGGTTCCTTGTGTACCATGAGTCGAAGACTAAAGAATAAAAGTTAGCATTGTTTACTGCAGGTAAAGTTTGACAATCCCCCCCAACGTGCGTTCACCTTGTCGTGGTGGGGGGGCTCAGTAGTGCCCGGCAATCCAACCGGGCGCGAAGCCAAGAAACGCACAGACAGATGGCCCACTTCGGTAGGCGGTGGGAGGTGGCCCTCTTCGGTGGGCGGTGTACTATGTGGGTTGCTCCTGGTACTTCTCTGATAGCAGAGTGGACCTTGGAGCAACCCCATGGTTGTGATGGTCTGCTTCGGCAGACCTGCCGTCGGGGCGTCGTAGTTGAATGCGTAAGCGATCCTGCGACGCCCCATTAAGACGGGGGAAGGTTTTGTTGGGTTTTAGTGGGTAGTACTGGCTTTATTACGCTGGTGAGTCCCACACCTCGTGCGTGAATGCATTTCCCAACGTTAAAAAAAAAAGGTAAAGTTTGACAAATTATTGTTGCGTGTATGCAAGTAACCCAAGCAACCTATTCGTGTACTCTTCAGATAGTTCCTCCGCCAATATTGTTTACAGATTAGCATTTTCCTAAAGGCAAGTAATATCTAAATCGTAAATCGCGAATTCTGATTTTTTTCATTAATTGTAACATTTTTATTAATTGTACACACAACATATAATTTTCGTTCGAGACATTTCATCCTTTACCATCTAGACTATCCATTAATTCGATAAAATGGTGACGGTGTATCTGTGTACCTTTTTGCATTTACAGTTGGTTCAATTATCGGTTCAACTCACCTCTTAATCTTATTTTTAAAAATAAAATAATGTTTCCTTTAAGTGAAACTTAATATTTTTAGTGTTTAAGACACTTTTATTCTATGTCCTGTGCGTTTGTTCCACGATTTTAAAGTCGATATTTATAATTTGTAAGATTTCATCGTTTTTTTTCAATTCTAAGATGCAATATTTGTTCGAGAGATTTTATTCTTCCCATAAGCCCTATCAATTAATTCGATAAATTCGAAATATTCGGTGTCCTTTTTTGCATTTTTATCTGGCTCGATTCCTGGTTCAGATAAGCTTTTAAAAAAATAAAAGTGTTTTTATTATTTTTAAAAATAAATAAATGTTTCCTTCGAGTAAATCTTGATAACTTCAATATTTAACGTACTTTTCTTCCATGTCCCATCGATTTGTTCCGCCCTGTATATATATAATGCAACTTAATTTTATTTTTTTATTTTAATACAGGTACATAATATATTACGTTATTCTAATCTACGTGTTTAGTCCGAGCGATATGTTTTATATATTATAATTAAATAATTTCATATTTTTATGCGCGAATTTTATTTGATCTTCTATAATCTATTAATTGATCGGCATCCTGTTAATTATTAAGTAAATATATATTAATTAGAGTTCCTTATAAATTTCATTGTTGTATAAAATTTAACAAGTCAGCCAATCCAATATCATTAGACAGAATTAAAATATTGCAGCTATTAGAAAGATGTCAAGGGTAACGGTATAAGGCCACAATTTCGTTTTAAAGCAAATAGATTGCAAGGTTGTCAGAATGTAATATCTTTAATACAATATACTCTTGTTAATGAATACTAGCGACTTAACCTCGCTTCGCGTCTCGGGTGAGTCCCTAACATTGAATGGTTTAGGAAAGCATAAAAAATAAACGTCTAAATAATAAATAATTCGGTCAATTTTATCCAAACCATCTGTATTGTAGGACAACATTTTTTTATAGTTTTATGTTGTATTATCTCAAGATTAAATCATAAAACAACCTGTTATTATTAAGTTTTAGAAAATCATACCATTTCGACATGTTCCGTATCGATTTACAATTGTATCTACCACAATCAAATTTTCGTAGAAAGAAAATACTTATGAACAATAAATACTAAACGTTTATTTTGGTCGTCATAATCCACGACACGTTACAGTGAGCGATCCAAATAAAATTTGAATGAGAGCGTACACGTGCCTATTTTAGTAACCCGGAAAGTCTGAGTAGTTGTATAACGTATCTCGTCACCAATTTCGTAGTTTATAATATAAGGCGTGATAAAATATAGTCGTGATAGATACTTTTATTGCAAAAATAATCCAGTAGTGAATTGTACATATAATCACTTTTAAACAAACGTCTACTTTAAAACCACTTTAAGTTATTATTCCACCTTTATTTCTATGAAAGTTGGGTCCACTGTCGAGATATAAACTATTTATTCTATTTATTAAAAAAATATTAAAATAAAATTGGTTCACATTTGACGAAGACATCATGGCATATACTGTACACATAAAAACAAAAAGCCGTATTGAGTAGGTACCTCCTCGTTTGTGAAGTCTATCAAAAATTAATTAGGTATATGCAAATATATAATAATTAAATTAATATACTAGGGTTTGGGTAGCCAGTATTAATATTCATGTAAAGTGAAAGCAAATAATTTTTACAGCATCACATATAGTTCAAATTTTATTCTGACTGAATTTGAAGGCAACATCATCAAATATATCACCTTATTATGTATTATAATTATTATCTAATACCGTCTAGTACGAACTTTTGTACAATTGACAATTTATGCAAATACCAAAGTTAAAGTTATTCATTTCTACGCATAGTAATCTATACATATAATAAAATTGTAACTAAGTCGAATCTGTACATTAAATATTTTTGGAAAATCTTATTGAAATAAACATTATTATCGATACAGAGGCGTATTCTAACGTTTTTAGAATTTTTGTCTGTCTGTCTGTTACCGCACCACAGAAAAACCACTAGAGGGATTTCGTTGAAATTTGGTATGGTGATAGTTGGTTATCCGGGTCAACATACATATAGGACACTTTTTACCGCGGGAAAATATCTCATTTCTGAGAAAAAATATAAAAACTGCAATGTAAGAGTATACTAATATGTAATACCTAAGAATTTGGTTTCTGGTCTGAACGCGGGCGGAGCCGCGGGCAATGCTAGTAATTAATAACCTTTTAATAAAAAGGAGGCTCATGGCAATAGTCACACGTAGGTTTTATTTCACGACTACCTGTGGGTGTCGCCAGCGTGGAAGCCACAACACAGTCCAATTTGTACACGTAATAAAACAGTAACAAAGTGAAAAAAATCTGTACATGAAATATTTTTTAAAAACAATGTATGTATGTACTGATTGTGTACAGAATATGGACCTAAATGCCATAGTCGTTGAAATTTTTGTCTGTACATATATTTATATATGTGTGCATTGCACGTAAAAAGTACCTACTTATCAGATTTAAACTTAATTTTGTGTAGTGATTATAATTTATTACTCTGACATTTGAAATTAATTTTAACTACAGGAAAATCTTTCATTTCAATGATTTATACACAAATACTTTAACTAGCAGGGTTAAAATTAACATACTTAACAATTTAGTGCGGTAAAACCTCTTATTTTCATGGGAAAAATGCAAAATTTCTTTATGTATTACATAGTATAAAATCAAAGTCGCAGTCTGGCTCTGCCTGTATTTCCGCTTACTCGTTCTAAACCACGCCTC